ATGGTGAAAAGAGGAAGAGGGGAGAGAGGTGGTGAAGATCTCATGTGAAGTTGACAGAGACAAAAGGAAAGAAATCAAGAGGGAGAGCTGGAGGACGGGAAAGCGAGAGGAAATGACGGCATGTCTTCGGAGAGGTGCTGGTCCCTTTTGAAGAGGACACGGGTGCTGCTCAATCACAGCAAACTTCAAAGGCTCTTCATTAAAGCCTTGCCTGGAGACGGGAGCCTTTCCCTCCCCTCCCTGCTCTCCTCATCCTCCTCATCCTTTCTTTCTTCACTCACTCTCTCTTTTTCCTCCCCTGCCTCCTCTAAGCCATTAAAAACAGCAGGTAGAGAGGCAATGAAAGAGAGGAGGAGCGGGGAGGAGACAAAGGGACACAAAAAAAGGATCGACCATGCAGGAAAAAACAGAAAGCCGCGTCTGTCGAGTCAAACGGGCGCTGTCTTTTCTTAGAATCTATCTCCTTTTGTTGTCACTGGAGCTCAATCAGCGGTGTTGTCTCGCTCTTCTTCTTTACGGCTTGAATGAGTTGAGTCAGAGACGGATGAAAAGGTGCGCGCAGGCTTGAGTGAAGAATCAGAATAGAAACAGAGAGGGATTCATCACAGGGGTTTGAAGCTCGCTGCGGCGGGGTGATGTGTCACATAACTTATCAGCTGTCACATGAAGACGCAACGTTCCCGAAAAGTCAACGAAAAGAAAATGCGAAATTGGAAAATGTGTTTGACATAAAACTACATCAAAAAAAAGTGCCGCATCATTAAGATTCTCACTCTTTTGTCACCTGTTTTTATTTGATTTCGCCTCATCAGCTTGAAATAACATGTATATCTGTTTGATCGGTGCTTTCAAAACACGCAGCGAACACATCAGAGCCACTCATGAAAAAAAAGTCCAAGGAGAAGCACAGCTGATCATTAGCAGGAAGAGGACGTCACATTCAGCAGACCCCCCTGAGGAACATGGAGTCAAAGAAAGAAATGTCATTTTTCTCTGATTGCAAAAGCAGGTGTGAACATCTGCCAATCAGAAAAATCAGTTTTCTATACCGAAAGAGACCATATGCGTCAAGGGATGATGAAAGTACGCCGTGCAAGAAAGATGTAAAGACAACATCTAATGAGAGACTCTTACACTGAAGCTGAATTGCCAGGAGCCAATTTTCTCCTCACAATATGAGTGTTTGCTCAGGCTGTCACATCAGTAGCATTGTGGGTATACAGTTGAAGTGTCTGCTGTCAGCACCGCCAATTATAAGTACAGTAATGCCGCCATCAAAGCCGCTCCGATGTATATTATTGATGATTCACGTAACAGTTGCTTCAGGTTAGTCTTCTCGTACAAACAGAGCTTTCAGTGGTTCAAAGAAATCTTCTAACGTTGACATTATTTCTCTAACCGTCTAATCAAATATGACTTCAACGTGTCTTTTACATTGGACGGTTTTGATTTTTTTGCTTTTATTTGGTAGGACAGCTTGAGAGAAGCAGGATAGAGTGGAGGATGGCGTGCACCAAATACTGTCGGGACTGGGATTTGATCCAGCAATGTGCTCGTCCGAGTGAGCCAAACCGGCATCCTTGTATTAGACTCTTCATCTTTATAAAAGTAGATGCACATTTGGCAATCTGACCCTCAGCACTTTAAGTGTCGAGTGCTGCAACATGTTGTTGTCCTCACTGCTAAACAACTTTAGAGCTGATTAAATAAAATCAAGATCACTCAAATAACTCAACTTTAAGCAGTAAGATTCAGAACTTTTATATCTCGAGCTCTGTGGGAGTTTGTGCGTCCCTGACAAACCTTCACAGCTAATCACACGGCTAAAGTTCTTGGGATGAGATGGGCAGAACTGTGAAATTAAATTGAGGGACATCCAGGGGGGCATCTGTATTCTCCATTTTGACAGCGGTGGGTAATTGATTCAGAGGGCAGGGATCTTTATAACTGTTGTTCAGGACTGTGCTCTACCTGCTCACTACAGTGTATGGAAATATTTGGCGATACTGCTCGTCCCTCTCGTGGTTGAAGCATTGGCGACCATTGAGGAATGGAAGCTTCCTGCTCACTCACACTTCCTACCTTCGTACCGGCTACTGAATAACCGTTGTTCTAGTCTACACAAAACCTTATTTTTCTCATTCATAAAAACGCTAAAATCTGGGACATTTACGGGGACAACTTTAGCTGGGCCCTGGTCATTCAAAACAGGGATTATTCCCTGGAAATCGTGGATGTTTGGTCACCAAACATTGGTCACGAATCTAAAAGCTACAGCATATGGAAATATTTCACGGTACTGCTCGTCCCTCTCATGGTTGGAGCATTGGCGACCATTGAGGATTAGAAGCTCCTGTGATGCATGATTAGTATGAACCTCTATTTGTCTATCCTGCACAACAACAATGGTCCACTTCCTCATCTTAGAAACGGTGACGTTTGTTTGAAGTGGTCATCCTGTTATATTAATTATATTTACACGAGACAGAAAATTTGTACTTCCATATGTAATGGCTTCTAATTTGAAAGCCTTTGAATCAACTTCAGACGTATAAGAGGAAACATACTCCCGATATATTTGCTTTTATTTTGAAAGGCTTCAAACAACTTCCGGTCCACTAAATGGAGGTGGGTCCTCTCATTGGAGGACTGCAGCTAGACTGTCTTGTCTACCTTTTCTTCTAAGTTAACTTAGGCTGTGTCCGAAATGGATCCCTAACCCCTATATAGGCGACTATATGGGGGTTAGCGTCATTTTGAGGGGTGTCCAAAACCTGAGTGATGAATTCCAATGCCCCATAAAGGCGACTCAAAATTTCCCATAGAGCATTGCAAAACGTAGTGACCATCTGATGGTCACTCACCGGTGGTGGGCATCCCGTCATGCATTGCGTCTTGCCATGTAGTGTCCGAAACCTCCAGTGATTGAGTTCACTACATAGTCAACTATATAGTGAAACCCCATTTGGGGGTTAGGGGTTAGGAACTGAGTGATTCATTTCGGACACAACCTAAAACAAAATGATTTAAATGCAAATTTAATCATACCAGTGAATGTTGTTTCTGCTTCAACGCTCCATTTCTGCCAAGTCTGTGCCTCTAAATTGACACACTGCACCTTTAAGTGTCCAAACTATTATTTTACGACTTTGCACAATTGACTTGATGTTAGTTTCTTGCGTGACTGTTGTGACCGACACTTTGGTCTTTTATCTGTTTGAAAGGAAGGAAGAACGACTTTTGTGGGTTTGAGGATGAGTCAGAAGCGAGTTGGAGTCAGTATTCCCAGTGTGGCCACCACCACCGTCTTTTGGGCTTCATATCTCCTCTTCAGAAACCAAGAAGTGATGTCACTGAGGCTTCATCCAAATTTCATACAGCTCTTAAGTCTTCTGACATTTGCAAACAAGCATTAAGCACAAAGTAGGTCAGTGGGAATGTCATTAGTTTTGCTGATATTTGGCTGTGAACCAAACTGATAGATGAAAGAACATTTGGGCTGTTAAAGGCGAGTTTGAGGGTTATAAACACATGCAAAAAAAAGACCGCAAAATTGAGAGAAAAACTCAGCAAGAAACATTTTTTGAGGGGCTGGAGTGAATTCTGAAAGAGCTGGTTCCAGATCTGGATGAATAATCAGAAAAACACCAACGTCGGCGAAAGTCTCAACTTCCTTTGACCCACTAAGTCAGAGCGATACAGCGGTACAGTCACCGCTTATCAAATCTCACACCTGACTGTCCTTATTTGAATGTGTGAGATATAGAAAACTTCTCCATCTCTAAGGGTCCCAGAATCTCCACGGGGTCTCGACAGCTCTACAGGAAGAACCGGACTGATCATTAACACTCAGGGGGGAGTCTGTCTGCTAATGATCTGACCAGCCTGTCCTGAGAAAAACACATCCTTCCCTCACAGTGTTAGACACATCACTGCATCCATCACAGGCAGATTAATGTGACGGGACAGAAACCCAAATGTGTCTAACTGCTGCTGTCAGGACGCTCTCTGTTTACGTGACGACAAATACACGATTAATGAAGTAATTCGAGCGTTAATAAATGTTTAGTCTGGCACCTCCATTTGTGTTCATCCATATTAGACTTCAAAGACACGTCTCCTCCTTTGCCCCCTGGTTTTAACGTCACAGATTGATGATTTGTTTGGAGATACGAGGCTCTCATCAAACAGAACAAAGACTTCGGTGCATAGCCGGGTCTCGAGAGAGGTCTGTCAGAGTTCAGCGGCTGGAAAGTATCCCCTTTCTGTGATGAATTCATAATCAAACAATATAAAAGATGGGATCAGCATGTTTGGACTTACGGATACTTCTGAGTGAAATGTATATGTGTTTTATTTTAAAGTTAATCCACCACCTTTACCGTCAAAACCCAACTTTTCCTCTTCAACTTTGATCTTTACTCGAACAATATGGACGTGTCTGAAGTCATTCGCTGTTCGCTGTAAGGCTTATGTTTCACTACACAGAATACCCAATGTGCCGCAAAGTGAATCTATGCACAGCCAGCGCATGTTATAAGGCCTTAACACGACTAAAACCCTTAATTCAAACCATCACTGAATAAGTATTCCAGTCTCAGAAAACGCAGCGTTCCCATGGGCTCTGAGCACAAATCCACATGACTTTTCCTCCCCATAGCTTCAGATCTAATTAGTCTATAATGGTTATAAACGTTCCCATTGCGGGGACTCTAATCAAAAACAAAACTTCCATTTTTTCCTCAGTGGACCTCCAATGAGCGGGCTGAATTTAAACGAAATGACGGTGAGATCGTGTTTCAGGCTACGGCCGGGGGAGATGAGAAGTCTAGCGATGGGAAGTGACGGTGTGTGTTCATACGAGGGCGCTGGGGGAATGAAATGATTTCCAAACCCAATCAAGAGGAAGCAAGGTGGCACATTGGCATTCACTGTCAGACCGCATTTAATCAAGAAACTCGGTGATTAAGTGGCAAAGTGAGCAGCTTGTCGTTTCTCCAAATTGAGCTTGTCGTTTGTGTGGAAGGTTATTCTATCTGTCTCTAAATCGACATCAGTTGGAGTTTTGTGAAATGTATTATCCCACCGGCTCTTCAGCAGTTTTCGAATGATCGCTCTTTGTCCTGTAATTTCAGAGAACAAATATTTTCAGTTATTCTAGCTGTGTGACATTGAGAGAGACGGTGTTACTCTGGCTTTTGGCTCAAACATCTTTGTCCTTTTCTGATAAAACGGATGATCCTTGACTTTCCATTTAGCGCTTTCATTATTCTGAAAATTTTCACTTATCCAGTAAAATATTTCAACATCTTTTGGCAGAAAATTGTACAGACTTAGCAGTTTTAATTACTTTGGCTTCAGCGCTACAGTGAAGTTGGCATGCCGGTATGATAACTTTTGCTTGGATTGCCTTGAAATTTGCTGCGGATGATCATGATCTCCCCAGGAGGAATTTTATTATTTCAATCAGGATTTCAAACGTTAAGAAGCTAAATATCAACACAAAAACTGTTCAGCACTTTGGTTTAGAGAGAAATGCCTTCCATTGTGCTGCGAGCGTCATCATGTCATCACAACCTTGTTGGTATGCAGAGAATCGAGCTTCTTTTCCTTTTTAGGAAAATGTTATCAACAGGATTGATCCTCTATTCTTGCTTTGTCGCTGTGAGTGTGGTGGCGTGTCAGCATTTAGCTCAGAGCATGCTGTGGTGGTTGGAGTTAGCACAAAAAGTGCCAAGGTAAAAATGTTGCTTTATGAAGTGTCACGGAAATAAATGATTTTACCAACAAAAACAGATGAGATGTGTGCGTGAGTTAGTCAGAAAGATGTGCGTTTATGTGCAGCATGTTGTAAAGTGCAGAACCGAAATCCAAAGGAGGCCAAAGCCAACTGAACAAAAACCCTGCTGCCACAGAGCGATCTGCTGAGGATCTGAGAGAGAGAGAGAGAGAGAGAGAGAGAGAGTGGTTCAGCAGGCTGGTCTTTTATATCCTGAGAGACTGGCCAGTAACTCCCAGGTGTGGCTGAAACCCCGCCTACCAGCAACCTGTCAAGAGATTCTGACTATAAAGTATTAAATAACTAGCTAACTAACTAATTATCTAACTAACTAACTTGATGTTCTATTGTATTGGAACCCATTAGCTTGTAACAATGTAAAGATTAGAGATGGTAGACTCCATCTAACATAGCAAGCTTGTAACAGCAGTGAAAAATTAATACAAAAGTCATCACAGATCATCTTTGTTTTTGAAGGGATTGGATCCAGACAGTCTCTAAAAATACACCGAAACACACAGATTTTAACCTCCTGAAAACCACCTGTCTCACAAAGAGAGTAGATTTTATAGAGCTGATACTGCAAACACAACAAATACGTGTTAAACACATTAATCACATAAAGCGAGCTTTAAGATACCACTTTTTCTCAAGTGTACTCTCAAACTAGAGTATTACTGTGTGAGATCTCAGCTGAGTGTTGAAAGATTACTAAACCAAAAAATAAATTATCGACAAGGGAAAGTAGCAAAAAGGTATACAGTCCAACATAACAAAGAAGAAGTACAGCTCCCATCATATATGTGACAGGAGTAGAAGTAAATGTATGCTGCAGAACAGCTACTACAACTTAAAGCTCCTGTGAGGAACTTTTTTTTTTTTTTTGTCAATGGTCACTTTATCCTGTTCTTTACATGCCTGAGTATTGACTTCTGACCAAAAAAATCTCATCTTGTTGACTTTTACAGTCAAATGTGCCACTTATTGTGAATATTTGATAGATAGATAGATAGATAGATAGATAGATAGATAGATAGATAGATAGATAGATAGATAGATAGATGTGGAAGTTGTAAAAAAAAAAAAAAAATCTGCTTAAACACCGACACCTACCTCCTCGTGCTGATTAAAAATCAGGACAAGAAAATCTTCAATCTTGTCCCTGATCAAGATCAAGATTGATCCCTGCTTTTATATATCATGAAAATGCATTAATATGAATTTCATATTTAAAAAACTCCTTATAGGAGCTTTAATGTAGCAGTAAATGAACCCCATTCTCTATCTTAAAAACAGCCTGGTGGAGTTTTTATCATGACTGCAGACATTAAATCTCATGTATTATGATTTGCTGTGTGTCCTTGAAGAAACTGCACATTATATAAATTAAATTTCCATCTTTGAGGCAAACATCTTGTGGGTCTGCATTTGTATACTTAAAGTTTGTGTTTGACGGTAGGACCTCAGGGTTTGTTGGGAAATTTCCATCCTTGAACAATGCAGTCAGTATAGTTACACCTCCGATTCTTGCCAGTTACTGTAAATCTCGTCGGAAAAAAAAGCGTAGAGCTTGAGGTTTGAGAGCAGAATGTTTAGATTTTATTGTCTCAATATTTATGTGAGGAACATTGTGGAAAATGATACTTGACTCTGTTTGAACAAGCAGAACTGGGGAGTGGTCATTCTTTGGGGTCAAACATGCTGCTATGTAGTTCCACTGAGTTCTATACGATCACTATGTTAAAAACAATCATAAAATCGACCTCTATCACTCAGTACACACTTAAAAACAGCCAACATGAAATGAAAAAACACACTTCAGGTTCATCGTTAATGGAAAATGGCGTCCTGTATGAAAAGAGGATACAAGGCCAGCTCATAAATTCCTGATACCACCGTGTCCTTTGACTCTTTGTGTAGCCTGAGGGACCAAACGTGTGTAAATTAAATAAAGTTTTGATTTTGGAAAGTCTTCTAAAGATTAAACTGGAAGTGATGTTACAAAGACAGAAAAGACTATTTGTTGGTTTGGAGGTCTGGACTGTTGTGAAATTCACCTTCAGGATGTTTTTAGATGTTTTATTAAATTAAAAGTTTAAGCCTCCGTTTCCTTTTATTCAAATGGCATTTCCTCTTTTTTTTATTTTTGATTCAGCTTGTGAGCTTTTATTTTTGCCACCCCAGTGCGACCAAATCTCAGCCGTCATCATCTGAATGTGTTAGAAGTAGTCATAACACTTTTGTACTTTTCTTCACGCCGAGCCGATGACTTCCTTTCTTAATGTTTGAAACAAACCCGACAGCTGAATTACAGCAGCCAGGCGCCGCAATTATGTCCGACACCAGCTCTGTTTACACTTTAAACCAAGGAATTAAAATTGTTCAAATTCCCCGGTGGATCGTCTCAACTAAGCGAAATTATTGCATAATTAGTTTATGCTTCTCTGCCTAATGCAAAAAGCATCATTAAGCTTTTAAACCTCAGGACCGAAATTACCTCTTTATGCAGGACTCAGAGCTTTTAAAAAGTGGTATGACAATGATTAAGCCCATGCAAAATTGTCCCAAATTCATCACACTGTGGCATTTCTTCCACATGTAGACATGATTTAGTGTCTAAAGCATCTCTGCGCTCTAAAACCTCTGATCCTAAGAAGCACCAAGCAGAGCTCACCACCTGCAAAGAGGTAAATTACACCGGCTCTGAGACTGCTTTGGTTCCGGGAACTGTGTGGAAATACTCTTGGGTCTTTTATCTCCTCTGTGCTCTCTGACCTACTATTCTTAATCCATTAAGGCATTTAAGGCCATTTAAGACAGGAAAGGAACATTAGCAGCCAGAAAACACAGCAACATATGATTCAATAAATATGTATAACCTCCGTTCAGTTCATCAAAATTTTGTCCCATGTCACTCCAAGTTTTACCAACATCATTATTTTCTTTTTAAGAGGAACTTTTATGTTTTTGCAGGACAGAACCGAAACATAGAAATACGTCAGTATAAGCCAAAAACTTCTCCTGACCCTTTGACACTGACCTGCTCTCATGTCCAATGATCTGCTGCATGACTAAGTGTAATTTTTGTGCATGCACGAGCAGCGACTCAGGTCAGTAAATCAATCTGCCACTTTTGCCTCTCACTGAAATGTTCGGCTTCTATTAGGCTTCATTGATTGGCATTTCAAACCGTCACGTGCTCTTGAGTTCACAGGGAAAATCACCTCTCTCTTGACTCGTCTTTATTGAGGGAAACATAGAAGTGAGAATAAGGAATTAGAGCGTGAGGAAACAAAAACAGGTCTTAAAGGGATATTCTGGCGTAAAATAAATTTAGGGTCAAACACAGCGTAACACAGAGTTAGACACCCCCAAGAGTGCTTGCTTCTCTAGTTATACCAACTTTCTTCTAGTTCTTCTGCCTTAGCGTCTCGGTCTGATTGCATTTCCATGAAGAAATGATCATAAATGTTCTTCCTTGAGCTGTGTCACCCCGCTGTAGTCCGCAATGGACTGGCCCAAGGTCTCACTACAAACAAGCGGCTGCTGGAAGAGAGTAGGTGAGTTGTGTTTAGTCTCTTTGTTAAAGAAATTAGAGATGTTTGGTGGCCAGTGCTGTGGCTGGGACCCTATATGTACTGTTGATGAAGTTAGGTGCTGTTCTGATCATTATTTGTGGCTATAGAGTGGCGTTTTGGTTGAGGTTTGTTTATGGCTCCTCAGACCGCTGTGTATTGTTATCCTGCGGTCGTTATTAAAGTTGGTATAACTGGAGAAGCAAGTGGTCAGCAACATTCATCTCTCGAGGGATGTCTAACTCTGTGTTATGGTGTGTTTGGCCCTAAATTAATTTTACGCCGGAATATCCCTTTAAAGTCGACCCTTTACATTGTTCTGTTTGTTGAATTTCCTTTTTGAATTGTGTTTCCTTATTTTAACCTTATCTTGCTCGTATCTTGTTTGTTTTAATACCTCATTTCCAGTCTAATGCGCTTCGTTAGTACACAATCTGGGTTTTCACTTTGTTCGGTGTTGGACAGCACTGTGCAAAAGTGACTGCAGCTGGCAGACTCCAGACTGAGGCTTGTGGCGAAGACTGCTATAACCAACGCCAGGCAAGTATGCAGACTTGAGGGTTGTAGCTTGGACTGCACGTTTTGATCTCCATCCTGCTATAATTATCACAGTTTTATTTGCAGGGCTCGGTTTGATGCAGTGTGGTGTTGTGTCTGCTTGCTGTGCTGCTGTTCCCCCGTGTTTGGGTCACCGAGGTGCAGTGCGTCCACCCCAGTCAGACCCGGGCTCAGTCTCCAGCCATGAGCTCTTATGCGGCCTGACAGCCTGTTTACCTTGGACGCCATTTCCTTGACGTTTCTGCATGGTTTGGCGCTGACTAGCAGTTGATGGCCGGCAGCTTTATTGAATTAGCTCTGCAGCTACAAAGGCAGGGAAAGAAAGAAAAAAAAACGGACAAAAGGACAGATAGAAGAGGGTAAAATGGTAAAAGAGATCAGAAAAATGAAAAAACCACCTGAAACATATCTGCTTTTATTTTTCTACTAACTTGTGTTTACATTTTCACTCCCTCTTTCTTTGCAAAAACACATTTTTGACCCTTACATTAACCTACACAGAACACAAACAGCGTATAAATCCCGGTGACACAAACTGGAGACTAAAAGTGCAAACACAAGCGCAGTGTATCTTGACAGAGTGGAGCAGACAGATTGGGAAATGTTAGTTTCTGCTTTAGATTCAATAGGAAGGGCTTCTCCTATTGGCTCCCTGCTGCACCACCCCCGTGAATGAGCCCTACTCTGGTGGGATGTCTTGTACAAACTGCCTCTGGGTAAATATCACATACCCTGTTAGAACGTACTGACCCGATTCCCTCAGAAAAGAGCAGAAAGAGGAGTATTCACTTAAAACAACAAATCGGGGCCTAGAGGTAGCTTTATCCCATCTCCAATGATCCCCCTCCCCTCGGGTTGGATCGGAAAGGAGACTAAATGCGTGCACACTCACACACTTTTGGAGTATGCACTGGTGCATGCATGTTCAGGGGCCTCTCCTTTTCTTTTTTCATCTTCAAAGAAAACACCAGAAGGTAGTTTTTTGCACGTGAAGATCATTCAGGGTTTTTCCTTTTAGAGTATGAATGACCCCTTTGTGATAAACCAGTATGTGAAATCTCAGGTCAGGTGAGATCAAATTACAGAGAAGACGAGTTATTCTGCGAGTGAACACATTTGCTTTAGCAGATTGTTGTGAATCATATGTGATAAATCTAAAGGGCTGAGGCTGTAAAAGAGGATAAATCTGCCCCTGAGAGTAGCAGCTTCACTGGTTTCCCTTTAACTCATGGCACCGTACAAGATGTGCAATCCTGGTCCAGAGTAATCCCTACGGTTTCTCTAATCTCTCTCTGTAACAGGGTCAGATTAGGGCACTAAAATGATATGGTGGGGGCACATTATCACATAAAGATTACTCATCTGCACATTTATAATCCCCTTAGAGTTTAAGTAATGTTAAGAGAGCGAATGTGCTGTAGAGAATTAAAGACAGCCCTACATTTTAAATGTCCTATTTAAAACAGATTACTTTTTTCAGGGCGGCTTGCTTTGGGGTATTTTTTCAGCTTTAGGGTAACTGTAGAAAACAAGGTTTACCTTTGGGTAATTATCCAAATGAGCACTTAGTTGGAAAGTTTTTCTTTTTTAAGTTGCTAATGAGCCGTAAAGTGAGCCGTCTGCGCTAGACTTTCTAGACAAAAGCCATTTGGTAATAGATCCCAGGAGGAGACGCTTCTTTGATGTTTTTAGAGCAAAATGAAAAACATATAAACTCTAAACCACCAGTTATGTAATTGATTGCAATGGTAAGCTCATGTTTGAGTGTATTAATGAGACAGTTTGGGATATACACTCATTCACCTTCTTGAAGCCAGTTAGAGCAGGCGAATGATGCTCGTCTGATTCCTGGAGTCGAGGGGTGATTCAATGGTTGGACTACAGTCTGGGAGCAGACATGTGTCCTAAATCTGACACCAGAACTCAGCATTAATAAAGTAATGCCCTTATTCTCGTGTTTCTGTGTGGAGTTTGCATGTTCACCCTGTGTCTGCGTGGGTTCACTCCGGGTAATTCATACTATCATGTTATCATACTATAGTATATTTTTGACATCCTTCTCTATGATTTTTTATTTTACTATGCTGAAGTTTTTTAGACATTCCAAACTATGACATTTTTTATCATACTATACTATGATATCTTTTTATCATAATATACTATGACACTTTTTATCATACTATACTATGATATTTTTTTATCATACTATACTATAATATTTTTTTACCATACTATAGTATGATATTTTTTTATCATACTATACTATGATATTTTTTACCATACTATACTATGACATTTTTATCGACCGCTCTGCCTCCTGAGCTCACACTAAAATATAACATTTTTACCATGCTATTCTAAGACATTTTTATCATACTATACTATGACATTTTTGTTGAACTATACGATGATTTTTAAACATACTATACTTTAACTTTTTTTCACACTATACTTTGACTTTCTTTTATCATACTATACTATGATATTGTTTTTCACGAAAATATGACATTTTTTTCATACTATACGATGACATTTTTGTTGAACTATACTATGATTTTTACACTTACTATTCTTTTTTTTTTTCACACTATGACTTTTTTTTAACCTTCAATACTATGACATTTTTTCACTAAAAATGAATTTTTTATCATACTATACTATGGCTGTTTTTATACTCAAATTAGATTTTTTTTTATTCACACTTAAATATGACATTTTTAACATACTATACTATGAAAATTTTATCATACCATACTATGACATTTTTAATCATACTAAAATAGTAAATTTTAATCACACTTATACGTGAACATTTTTATCATACTATAGTATGGCATTTTTTACGTCATACTAAAATTTGATTTTTTTTTTTCTTTTCAGACTTAAAAAAAAGAGTTTTTTTTTAACATACTATACTATGTCATTTTTATCATACTAGACTACAATTTTTTTTTACGCTTAAATATGAAATTTTTAACATACTATTTGATGACATTTTTATCATACTATACTAGGTCATTTTTATCATACTATACTATGTCATTTTTATTATACTAGACTACTTATTTTTTTTACGCTTTAATATGAAATTTTCAACATACTTTACTATGACATTTTTATCCATACTCAAATAGCAATTTTTAATCACACATGAAATTTTTATCATGCTTAACTATGGCATTTTTTTTTTGTCATACTAAAACTTGATATTTTTTTTACACTGAAGTATGAAATTTTTGACATACTATACCATGACATTTTTATCATACCATACTATGACATTTTTATCATACTATACTATGACAGTTTTTATTTACACTTAAATATAAAATTTTAATCACACTTAAATATGAATTTTTTTATCATACTATACGATGGCATTTTTTTCACAAAAATATGATTTTTTACACTAAAATATGAAATTTTTAACATGCTATACTATGATTTTTTTCACACTATGATATGACTTTTTTAAATCATACTATTCTATGACATTTTTTATCATACTATACTAAGACAATTTATCACACTTTTCTCTTTACATAATTTATTTAAATTTCTTTTCGTACTTAACTGGTTATTTTCAACATACTATACTATGACATTTTTATCATACAATACTTTGATATTCTAAATATACTTTACCATGTTTTTTTTTCATCATATTTTACAATGACATTTTTTAAACAAACTATTCTATGGCATTTTTTATCATACAATTCCATGATTATTTTATTATATCTAATTATGATTTCTGAGGTTGTAGGTCTGTTAGATTCCTTCAATGAGAAAAACAAGACAGCAAAAGCAATTGGATATTAGGCCACAATGTTTATTCAGTAGTGTTGTTTCAACTTATAGGTACAATACTGTCAGCTTTTGTAAGACTAAAAAAAAGTTACCATTACAGTCATCCATGCTCACAGAATGCCAGTCAAGTCGTTTACACCTCTCTTATGTGTACAAACCTGCCACATGCTCACCGTGAGCAAGTACATTTCCAAATGGTAGGCACTTTGAAGGTTTAAAACATTTGTGAATATACATTTATATATATTTATATATCTTTCCATATACTAATAAGCAATTGGACTCAAAGGTCAGGTCTCTAATGGAGAGAAAAAAAAAAAACCTAAAAGGGCAAAAAAATAAAAAAAGAGGATGAGGAAACAACATGATGTGGCCATGGTGGAGGGGATGGTGGTAGGAGTAGAAATACTGTGAGTCTTTGGGTTTTTCAGTATACTTCAGTACCTTAAGTCCTATGACAAGAGAGGACAATAGAGAGAGGGCAGAGAGGATGGAAGTGGACGATAAAAGGACCACAGAGAGATTAAAAGAACAGAAGAGGGGCTACATGGCAGGGTGGTATAAGAACATGTGACTGCCTCTACTTTACACAACTACTCTGCTGAAAAGGCAATTTATAAACCCGCCTGACATTTTTCTCTCTCTTCAGAGCAAGTTTATGGAGTTAGAATATAAAAAAAAGAAGAACAGGAGGAGACAGTAACTTCCCGTCATGTGACATAACTAAGTTATCACTCAATAGAGCTACTTGACTTTTTTGTAACAGCCGTTTTTGTGGCCTCATTTAGGGATGCAAAATGGCATCGAAACAACAACACCTTTCATAGATTTTAAACCTAGTAAACAACCTCGTCTCATCACTTTTAAAATGGTTGAGCTCGCAGCTTAAAAAATAGCCCTCAATGTGACTGTCATATCAGAGTTTACTCAGAGGTAACACCGAGTTTCACATTAACTGTGCAGCCTTTAAAATCCCTCTGACGGAAACTAGGTTTCTAAAGGGGGGACTCTGATGGTGTTTACTACAGAGGTATGTGCTCTGCATGTGGGGACTCAGCCCCGGCCTGGTGTGTTTGCATCCAAGCAGAAGCGGGCCATTGAGTTTGCAGATCAGGGACAAAAAACACCAGGCTACCCGGGTGGCTCCATACAGCTGAAAGGGAGAGCTGGTGGGGGGGTTGAAAACTAAACTGGCGGTGCTCCAATCTGATTTAAAATAGAAGGTGGGAGTGAGGGAAGTTAGGGTAAACAGAGAGAGGGAGGAGGAAATGTAAGGGTGAACGGGTGCTAGCAGAGTTTGGGTCCTGTCAGGGGACGCATTGGGGAGAAGGTGGCTATGGGCTGAAAACACCCCAAAACACTCGACATACTCGCAAAAGCAGTGGGGAAGCCAAAGCTGTGAATGTGCAAGACGTGATCAAGAATGGGTTTAAATAGAAACTAAGAATCAGCTAGACATAAAACAGAAGTCAGACTTGTGATTTTTCTTGAGCCCTGACATGCTTATTTTCATCTTTTAAAGACCTGCAATTAAAACGCTGTCGGAAAGAAAGTGAGTCGAGAACAAACAAACATAAAACAAACAAAAAGAAAAGAAAAAAACAAAGACATAATGATGCTCACGTTTGACCAGAGAAAAGAAAAGATGTGAGAGCAAATGATAAACATTGTAACCTGATGGGAGAACATTTACATTGACCATTAACAGCGTTATATGAAGACAAAAGAGCTTCATCCGAACTACAAAGGCATTTTTTTAACATCAGAGAAAAGATAAATTAATGTTATACACCTTTAGAGATCAACATCAGACATGCTAGGACAAAATAAAAAGAAAAAAAGGAAAATAAAGGATTGATACAGAATAATTATACTCAATTATTTCCACTTTAAATTTTTTTTCTTTACAAATAACATACTGCTACAGTTAAAAGTAGTCAGCGACTAAAAACAGCTCCTTTGACAGAAGACAGATGCGATTAGTTTCCTCGCCTTTACAGATCCTGTTTTTTTTTTCTTTTTTTTCATCCTTTTCAAATAATACACAAAATGTTTAAATACACTGAGATTTGCCATAAAATGAGAAATGCTTGGTTTTCATTTTTTTAAAAAAGAAAGAAAGAAAAGGTCTTAATTACAATACTCTATGCAAAAGCTTTCCTTTATGCTATTTTCCTCACTCGAAAACGTTTCCTTGTTGGGTGTGAACAAGTTTCGCCGTCGTCGTGGACTGCGCTTTGTGACAGTCGCGGTCGCGGTGTGTCGTTCTGATGACGGGGAGGGCGGGCTCTTTATGCATAAAACTCCTTAGTCGGGGCCTTCTGGTAGGCCGCCCCGGAGGGTTTCCTCTCTCCCAGGTCGTAGCTGCCCTCATCCTTCTTCCTCATGCGGTAGACCAGGAGGAGGATGAGGAAGATGGCAAACAGGAAGCCGATGACACCGCCGGCGATAACAGCTGGTAACAGCAGAGACAGAGAGGACAGGTAAGAATCAATGCTCAGAGAGGGAAATCGATGTCTGCTGTCCTCCCTGCAGAGAAAGAGACCTTTAGTGTGTCCTAAAGATAGAAACACTTATGAACCGATACTCAGACTCTATTCTGTGAAATTACTCTCCACTTAGAGGTGATTTTAGCAGCTTTATCACACCACTATAATTATACGTCACAGAGAGAACATATTTCATGACCCAACCAATGAGCCCCTAAATAGTCAGGTGCAAATATGACTTGACCCCAAAAAAGGGCGAGGAGGGGACATTTGAAGTTTTAGGGGTGGTGACAGTATTTTCTCATTTATAGAGTGATAAAAAGAGATATCAAATGTTCATTTTTTTGGTTATGGAAATGTAGGCAAAATAGTGCATATATATTATTAGATATTACCTCATTTTCACATTCAAACATAACATTTGACAAAACTTGTAATACAAAAAATATTTTTCTTAATGTAAGTTATAAACTTGGGAAGTTTCATGGTGATATCTGTTAGTTAAAAATTTTACCCGATTTACCAGGGTTTGTCCTTGCGGGCTTCATACCCATCATTTACGCCATCTTGAAAAAGACACCTTTCTAGCGGTCAAACTTCGGTACACTTTTAGTATGTTATTAAGGACACCTCAATGTCCTTACACACCGGGAACGGCGCAAATATACGCCACGAAATTACAAAACATTTGGCGGCGAATTTTGACGCGCCTGACTATACATATAAAGCCCGATGCGATTTTGCGACTTTCCGCTGGGAAAAAAGACGTGTCCCGGGTGGAAGCGAGAAGACTGACACAACACCAGTTCTGATTAGACACTAGTGTTGAGATGGCTGTCTGTCATGATAGCATGTGAACACTTGTATTGACAGGATACGGGTTCGAAAAAAAAAAAAAATGACGTCCGAAAAAAATCGCACGAAAAAAACACTCCCGGTGTAAAAGTAACTTTTCTTTGTGTCCATTTCCGCGCCCCTTAAAGTAGCACCTTTACTCTCTTTTCTGATCTTGTTCTGTACAGTAACTAACATTGTTTTATGATGGAAAATCTTATCCCACTTTGTTGTCTTGTACTTGCAAGAATGAGATGAAAATGAAACGTCTTAGCAAAAGACGACACATCTAACTCCAGAGGGTGAGAAGAAACCTTCTATTTTAATTCCTCTCTGCAGGATCTGCAACAACAAAATATCCTGAAGGTATCCTTGCTGGACTTCATTGCACACATTCCTGAAAACGGGGTTAGACGGTAACTGAAGAGACGGAAAAACAGGCGGGGATATCGAAAGTCAAACTTTGTGCAAAGTAGATAAGTAACCCCAAGACCAAAAGAGGTAAAATATCAGGGGGATTCTGAATAAAATCCGCCCAGGCTGAGCTGAGAATCCTCCAGCTTTGACCCTGGACCGGCTCACTAATACTCATAACTCGCCACATGGGCTTATTTCATTCTCCCTCCCAATTATGCCTGTATGAGGTCCTTTATAGCTTCCTAATCTGGTTAGACTCCCTTCTGGTGCTGCAATTGGGCCTCTGCTCCACTTTAGGTTTCCACATGTTGACTGGCCCCATGGCCCCATGGGTAAAAATCCTGGCAGACACCCTTGCTGCTAAGCTCCAAGAAGCAGTAACGCAATACAGAGTGAATAAATGAAAATTAGATTACGGCCAATTATTTTTATGGAAGTCTTACGGGGGATGAAGATTAATGGTTATAATCTGGAAGAGGAAGGAGAGCGAGCGAGGTAGAGGAGGCAGAGAGTTCAGGTGGCTGACTGTGATGGAGGTATGGTTTATAAATTCACATTTTCTAAGAGTGTCTCTCGCTGTACAAAAACAGAGGTCACAGATAAAACAGGAATATCAGCGAGAGAGAGAGATGTAAGCGGAGTTCTTATTAAGCGGGTGCCTCTCTGCTTCGTCCTTGTTAAAGTTGTTTCTGCATATTGCCAACACCAGATGGATATCACAACAAAGTGAAAACGAGGTGCCAATCAGTGTTTGCCTCAGACGCGCCGCGAAAAAAGAGACAGCACCAGACAGAGCCGCGATTCTGAGTCCGATAATTTCCTTTCCATCCTCTTTCATGTACTCAAAGTGAGAAACACACACTCGAAACACCCACAATGCTGTGAACTCTGCAAGGTCCCAGCGAGGGAAGCAGATGGGGTTTATTAAAAGTAATTATTTTGAGAAGTGGATCAGGTGGGAGACATTATGGAGCATATTTCTGAGATTGAAGACTTTGCTATTCACTAGAAATATGCCAGCGTGCTGTAATATATCAGAACATTAGACAGAAAATTAATCAAACGCTTTCAAACGCATCAAAGACTTATTTTCACTGGAGCATCAAACTGAACAGCTCTTAAATATGCACTGAAACATTTAAGGCTCCAGTGACTTTTTAACGGGTTATGAAAAGCGCCCAAATTAATATTGATTTATCTTTATGACCCACAAAAACAAACTAGCAGATTTTAAACACGACAGGCTGTTTTTGAACAGTCATTTTTTAATGTCTGAAAGTGTCGCCACAGGGTAGGATTAGGGTGAAAAGAGCACCTCCAGGCTGCTGGAAGTGATTTTTCACATTTTCAAAGCAAATACTCTTGATGAGTGATGCATCAGACGGGTACAAATCAGAGGAATATGATTTAAAAATCAGATCTGAGACAAAATCAGTGGAGAAATAACTCATTCAGTCATAACAGTTGAATTCAGCATTTCCAACGTGGCGACTCGCCATCTTCAGGAGCCAGTGGGTGATGTGAATGAGACTTTGTAAATTTAGGCTAGGCTAGTTTGCACTCTAAAAACTCGAGTTATTTCTTCAACCCAATTCCTGGGTTAAATGTGTTGAGTTGAATTTCTGGGTTAATTTTCAGATCCATACCCATTTCTTGGGTTATATGGTTTCTATTGTAACCCAGTTTGAGGGTTTTTTGATCGGGTTAATATTTATAGGTTATTTTTCTGAGAGTAACCCAATAATTGGGTCAGAACGTTGGGTTTGATTGACTCTACGAGGTTTCTACGCCTAATGGCAATGATGTTGGGCGACTGGGGTAGCTCAGTGGGTAGAGCATCTGGTTCCCAACCAGGAGGTTGGGGTTTGGATCCCACATGAGACACATGTGTAAGGAGCGAACTACATCCACCCATGTGGGTCTTTAGGCAAGACCATTAGCACTATGACCTACAATCAGTTAGATAAAGAAGTACATGGGAAAATAAGGTACAGGTTGTATATGAAAGGCCCCAATAAAAGTTTCCCACATGCATCTACCAGTTTAACCCAAGAGCATGAGTCAAATTAACTTGAGGATTGGGTAAACTTGACCCTTAAAAGTGTTATTGAGTCTACCCAAAATTGGGTTAATTTGAGTAAACAAACATTCTGGGTCAAAATAAACCAATAAGTAGTCCGTCCCTTTTCAACCCTGGTGTCGGGTTAAACAGCCCAACTTGGATTGTTTTTAACCCAGGGGTTTTTAGAGTGTGAGGAAAGATGGAAAACCTGCCACGTCAAAACAGACATGGCTTTTGTTAATCTTGACACGTACCTGCCAACACCTCTGTCCTCTGGAAGAGGTTTTCAGTACGGACTTCAACAGCCTCCTGGGGCGAGCCGGGGGCACTTGTTGTACTAGTCAGCGGGTTCCTCGGCATGTCCTCTGTAACTGGCACAGGTGCCTGAATAAGGAAAGTGAAGGAAGGAGGAGGAAGAAAAACACAAGTTCATTCACTCTGGTGTTTTGAGATTCTCTCTGAAATCAGGACTGTTAATAATTTGGCTCCAGATTTAAGGATTCAGATGAGCTTTGATACCTGTTATCTATCAGTTTAATGGAAAATCAAACAGCCTATTAGCATAGCAAGACGGCACAAAAGGAAACAGATGGGCTCTGGTGACTCTGACTTCTGCTAACCAGACGAATACAGCTTTCTTTTGAAATTTGATTTTAGTTTGTTTGATCTCTCATGCACAAACTCTTGACTAAAAATTGGAATTTGTGGTTCTAGCATGTCTTGGACAGCAGCAGGGACTTCCTTCAATCTTTGCTCTTTGCTGTCACTGAATGTCTGCATATATGAGGATCTGCTCCTTGGTTGTTGCCTTTAAAGCTTCATATCCAAACTAAAAATCTACAACATTTATTGAAGTGAACCTCCTCCTGAAAAAGCCCCTCAGCAGGTCCAGTCAAAAGAAGAATGGGGAACAAAATGGAACCTGGCCAGTGAACCTATAGAGGCTGGCGAATGAAGAAAATGGAACGAATCCAGATTGCCCGAGAAGATTAGTGCGAGGCTCGGGAAAAGTAGGCAATGAAAGCAGAGCCAGTGACCCTGAGGTTTCTCTGTGAGTCTAGGAAAAAAGAGGAAAGTACCCCGAATGGATCCAGACCTTTCTTTCAACGCTCTTTCCAAAAACACAACAGAAGGGAGCGAAGGACGAAAATGGAACCGGGCCAGTACATTTGGCTGAAGGAGTAGTAACACAGGAGAAAAATGGAATGGGGCCAGGTATGCTTGGCTTATGGGGTAGAGACCTTAAAGACTAATCCCAAACAGATGTAGTATCCAGTCTGGTACAGTAAGAGTGCGGCGCAGACTGAGATCTAGGATGGGTCCAGAACGTGTGATTATGTACGAGAGAGATGTAATCCTTCATAATTTGCAATGGAGCGAAAACATTGAGAGTTGATGTGAGCACTTGATCTTTATCCTGAAAGCAGCCTCACAGCTTCTGGTATTACTGGGGATTTGGTGACATTTTGGGTCATTTAAAAACAGACCGAGGAGCTGAGTTCGGTTTAGATCGGGACAAATGGGCCATGTTTACTTAGACCAGTGGTTCTCAACTGATCTCACTCTGGGACCCAAATTTTCCCATGGTCCTCTAGTCACGACCCACTTTTATAGAATTCAAACCAAGCAAATTTAGACTCAAATCTTTGACACAAATACACCCGTTTTATTGAGTAAAGTGCATTTCAGAGCACATGAACTGAGACCACAACTACTGAAGTTGCATAGACAGAAAATATCAAATATCAATTAAATATCTAATTGCACAAAATAAGCTATTTTTCAAAATAAAAGACATGTCAAACATCAGATGTGCATTAAATATTTCCTTTTTTGACCAGCTGTTTGCGACCCATCCAGAATGTGTCCATGACCCACTTTAGGGGTGGGACCCACCAGTTGAGAACCACTGACTTAGACTACATCCATGTTTTATACAGTCATACTGAGCAGTGTCTAAACATCCTTTTAGGGAGCTGAAAATATGAACATTTCGCTGTTCTTCTTACCTCTGTTCTGAAAGGTTTCCTTGGTGTGATGTCCCCGACCTTTTGTCTAACCGTGGCTGTCTCCACCCTGGGGGTGAAGTCTTTGGTGGAGTCCTGGGTGGGTTCTGCTGCTTTGGGCTCGATATAAACCACACTGACAGTCACTGTTTCCTCCACCATATCCTCTCCACCACCTGAGGGGGAAAAAATGCCTCTCTATTAGCTTTAATTTACTGTATGTAAACCGCAAAAGATGAATAAATATCATGTAGCCTTCAAGGTCAAATGTTAGCTTACATGTTAATATTTTATGCGCATAAATGTGCCGTTTGTCATACTTAAATTCACACTATGGATTTGATTGTAATATATTATTTACAGGCTGAATCTCCTCTTGAATAAAGGGTGGCAGAGCAGAGTAATAGGCCACCTATACAGTATTGAAAGACCTATTGATCACAGTCCTGTCTCCTTTAACCTAGAATAACCTTTTCTTACTGCGGTTAAATAACTCTCTCAGAAAGAATAGTTACTCTGACAGAGGCATGAGCATTGTAATGGTGCTTGAAGCGAGTGCAGGAGAGGAGGTAATAAAAAAGACATGTAAAATACGCACTTTTGCCCACAGCGGTCTGGGTGACAAGGCAATCTCAATTCAAATCAAGAGAAAGAAAGAAAGGAGAGAAGGAGACGGCAGAAGGAGGTAGAAACAAAGAGAAAGAGGAGCGTAAATTGAAAGGAGAGAGGAAGTGAAGGAACAACTTCAGGCTGCTAGTGAAAGACAGGAAAACTCGGCGCTCATAAAACTTGTCTGCAGCCGACCTAAGAGCGAATGCAGAAGGCCTCCTTGTAATTGTCTGCTGAGCTTGCAGGTCTGGGAGTGAATGGGTGTGTTAATGCGTTTTACCTGAGCCAGACCCTGAATTAAAGTCATCATCGTCTTCAGGGTAGTAGCCTCCTGAGCCTGTGTCATCCAAGTACAAGTCATCAGTCTGAGAGGACGTCTTGGCAGCTTCTGCTATCTGCAAGAGAAAACAAGATAACAAGGCGGTGAGACTCGACTTCAGATTCTGCTCCACTTAAAATCGACAAAGTGCAGAGCTTTTAATGTTTACGCACAGCACACATTCACTCTGCAAGTATTTTGTTTTTATTCTAGCCGTTAAATCATTTAACACAAGCCTCTTCTGAGCGGGTTGGTGATTATTCTTTTAATTGGCAAACATAAAATCCTCTTGGGTGGCAATTCAAAGCTCGTATCATTAGTTCATAGTAAACAGCACAAATCTTTGCTAAATTCGCCATTATGAAACAGCTTTGTGTAGTTTAGACAGCCTAAATAACAATCTTTCTCTTGCATCTGCTGTAAAGTAGGAATTAGTGCACAGTGCAGACACTAATGTCTGGCTGAGTGTATGCCTCTGAGACGGCTGGTATCAACAGATCAGTCCGTGTTTTACTTTGGAGCTTTAAGAGCTTCTTCTCAAGCGAGACGAAGAATCAGGTCTGTGAGGCAACGCTCAGGATCAGCAACGTTTGGGACCGAGTGCAAACTTCAGTAACGGAACACCAATTTAGAGTTTCAAATAAAAACAAATAATAGCTTTCTCAGCTTGTGCCTCCAGGTAATACAAACTTTGGCCTGCTGGTGGCGCTAGAAAAAGTCACTCAAATTTATCCTTGGAGCACAAAGGATTTCTGTTCCAAATTTTAAGCTAATATATTCTGTAGTTGAAATAGTCAACTAAACACAATGCCGAAGTCTGCTACTCTATGATCTTTAGGTTGGGATTCATCCTCTGGAAAGCATGAAGGACCAAACAAAACTTTACAATAATCCATCCATTAAACACAATTTTTGTGTTTCATTTTGTCTCCTCCCGAAATTTTGCTTCTGTCGATTCAAGATTTGTCCTCTAGGGAACATGAATGATTTAGCAGCAATCCATCCAACAACATGCAAATGTCTTAAGTAGTCTCCTGATTCTGACACATTTCAGAGCCTGAAACTTTTCTTTACAGAATGAACACGTATTTTAAGTTTGTCTTCTGGGGAGCATGAATGACTGTTAACTTCAAGGGAGATCACCCTGTAGTTGTGGAGGTACTATTACTCAACATTATGTTCCAGTCTTTGGTTATCCTAGACTTTTGATCTATGGAACTACCATAGATTTAAGATTTATCCTCTGGGGAGCACGAATGACTATTAACTTTCACCACCATGTAAGGAAATCACCCTGTAATTGTGGAGTTACTATTACTCAACGTTATATTGAGGTCTTAAATTATCTCAGATTGTTGCTTAATGGTACTACCATGGATTTGAGATATATCCTCTGGGGAGCACGAATGACTAAATTGCAGTCTATACTGTTTGTCTTTAGATATTTTCCCACACACTATTCAAATGTCTTAAATAGTCTCTGGACTTGGTTCTAGAGCCTTAAAGACTGTAAGATTTATCCTCTGGGGAGTATGAATGATCATTTCAAGGGAATATTATGTGAAAGTTTTTGGTTTTCTTAGACTTTTGCTCTATCGTTCTACTCTGAACTTTTGTCTGGGGAGCCTGAATAAACGTGGTAAAACAAAAACTTGTGGAAATGCATCTTGTTGCTTTTAAAGTATCTTAGCAATGTCTAAGTAATCAGGATTTATCCTCTTAGGAGCATGAAGGAATGTTTTAATGCTACTGCAATGTGCCGGTAATTGTTGAGGTATGGGGCCGAGTAACACTTCAACTTCCAGTTTGAGGTTGTACGATCTGGATGAAGTGCGGCCTTACAGGTGATTGTCCAATCAGAAAGTGTCAGCCCTCCCACAGCTTTGTTGTCGGGACGACGGACCTAAGTGGTGAGAATGTTTGTGTTCCAGCTTAATGGAGTTACTGGCTTAAAGGACCGCACTTTCACAGAGCCTGTTTGTTTAAAAAGCAGCACCTCACATGATGTGTGCGGGGATTTTAACGAGAAATAAGATAAGAAAAATGCAGCTTTCACGCTAATTGGCTTACAGAGCCAGATAAATGCATGGGGGTTACAAATTCCCACAAATATAAGTGCAGATAAAGAATTATTTATATGTTTTGTAGAGTGTGTGACTAGAATAGCTGCAAATGCATCCATGGCAACATCTATTCAATTCCTGCTCACCAATCTGTGGTCAGCTGTTCTGCCTCCTTTACTGATAGCCCTGCTTTAGAGAAAGAGAGCACAAAAGAGGAACCCCTCAATAAATCATCCCCGAGTGTCGAAAGCTCCCGTTAAGCTGGTTTCTGCAGCTCTGAAGAGGCTGAGCTGATAAATCTGAAGCTGAATCATCAATCGGTGTTGAACCGTTAAGAAAGTTTTCAGTGTTTCTAACTGCTGCACTCTTCCCATGATCCAACCTAGAATAAATACACAATATGATGGATTTTTAAAATGCGATTTATCGTGAATTTAGTGATAAATTGTGGCTTCTGAAATAGTTTGTCCTTCTCTTTTTAACTACGAACCAGCAGTTCAAGTAAGACCAAAGAAAACGCCTCATCTGGTCATATCCCTGTTGCATCTCCGCATTACCAGTTACACTCAGTATCTCGAACAATGAGCGTGTTCAGTGGTGCTTTCAAGTCATTGTATATGCATATGTGTGTGAGTTTGTGTGGCGTCATGAAAGAGAGGCCTGGTACTCTCCATAACAAAGAAGCAGGCAGTACACACAGCTTACAACAGCAGGAGAAAGAAAGAAAAGAGAGACAGAGGCGAGATGAAACACAACAATGCATATCTCCATCTCCTCTCAGCTGCCTCTGACTTTTGAGAGAAAGGCCTTTCACCGCCGAGCCGCCTGATCAAAGACAGAATTTGTTCAAAGCAACTTTATCTTAACCTTTCTTGCCTTCTTCTTCCCCCGAACACAACCCCCCTCGACTGCAACAGCCGGCTAACTGATTCATCGGTGCATGCGGTCTGCAGGTCTTTATGCAGAGGCGATGTGAGCACAATGAACCGAAAAGAGGCAGGCCACAGATCAAACCGTGACAAAAGCCACTAATGAGATAGAGGCCACACACACACACATGCATGACTAGACATGTTTTACAAATGTATGCAAGCATTCATTGATTCATTGATTATACATACACACACACACACACACACATTAGAGGGAGCAATTGAGCATGTAAAATGACACCTCACAGACATGCATGGAAACATGCAAAGAAAAAACCTTTAAGAATCGACAATGAAGCTTGAACCCCCTCAGGGGCAATTAAACTACAATTCAGAGAGGTGACAGTAGCAATGTTAAGACTTTCACCTGATTTATAGGGTGAAAAAGATGATGAATTAAAAACACAGTAATGCTTTTTTTCCCCGTTCTCTTTTGAAACCGAAAAACAGTCGAGGTGAATTAAAAGCATGTAATCAATTTTTAGCGAACGTGTAAATAAACAGTATGAAAAAGCCCAGAGGACACGCCGGTGTTTGTGAGTGCTTTGTTTAGTTTGCTCAAAATTAAAAGATATTCAGTCCATTCAAGTTTTTATGCCATGCAGGCTAAAACTATTGAGTTTTTCCTCACAAAAGACCTTATTCACTTGTAGCCTCTATACATCAGTCTTTTTTTTTTTGCTTTTTTGCTTTTCAAATTAAAAACATATTCAAGGTTGTTATTTAACCTCAAATGGAAAATATATATAGTCGTACAAAAAGCACAAAAAAGCAGTTGAATGCATGACTCAGATAAACTCTGATAAACTTAGTTAAATCTGTTCCAAATAAAATGTCTGGCTGGAAGTTTGTTCAGCCGGGGCCTATTTAGCAGTAGGGATGGGCGATATGGACTTAAAATATGTTTACGATAAGTTTTGCCATTCTGGCGATAACGATAAAATAGGGTGACCATATTCTGACTTCCCAAAAAGAGGACACGACTACGCAGGGCAGAGTCACAGAGTCGCACAAAGTTAATTTTTCGAGTGTCTTTTACGCACTTCTAAGTCAGAAAGTCCATGTGACACAAAATCGAAACTTACCACGGACAAACCCGGACAGCCCCCGAAAAAGAGGACATGTCACCCTACGATAAAAGCCCACAAGTTTAGGTGGTAGGTTATGGAGAAAACTATTGACATCAAACAAGTCTGAAATGTGAAAACACTTTCAACATTTATATACCCGATGGCACTCTTCTGAACGGCTGCGAGTCAGTTGTTCGCACTCACGGCATCAACTTGCATTCATCGTGGCAAATTTTCATCGGTTTTCTGAAGATAAATCGTGAGCTATCATTTATCGCCCACCCCTATTTCGCAGCATGGCTCTGTTTTGAGAGCTCCTTGTCCTTCCATATGCAAACACGAAATACTGACCCTCCAGAATACAGAGCAGAGCGTCGATGGCAGCATAAAAAAAAGAGGAGCTGAATAGAATGAAGGCTGCAAAGTGGTTTGGCAGAGGAAGAAGAAAACCACTTTGCAACACAGACGAGAGCGGTTTGAATCAACGCATTTGCCTATTGGATGTGTTGAAGGTCATCTGTTCAGCTCTTTGTCCTTGTTTCTACAATTTAACAGTCTCCCCTTTGCCTGGCACCAGAATTACAGGTCAGTTTTGCAAATAATGAATATTTCTATTATTGAAATCAAATCTACTTTTCATGTTGGTGCCCTTTGACATGTAATAACCCAAGTGTCACAGGTTATGCTCCTCTTCAGATGAGCACAGAGACACTCAGATCTGCTCACTCCTGTCTCTGTTTATGTTTTAACGGCTTGGACAGTGTTGGAATTAAAGCTTTTCGACTGAAACAATCCACGCAGCCACAACAAATCAGATCAGAGCGGAGGAAACGGCGCGTCTGACCTCGATAAACTTCATTCACTTCATCTGACCACAGGCGCACAAACACACAGCACGTGTGTCTGTCGCTGCACCAAGTTAAAACTCGATAAAGCTGTCCTTCTCTATCGCTAACACACACGCGCGCACACACACACGTGTGCAGACACAAACATCCAGATAAACTTTACTCTCTCTATCAACCCAGTGACATTTACAGGTAGTGTCTGCTTCCAGGCCTTATCGCAGAGTCTGAGCTGAACCAGACATCAATCTCAGCACAAGTAAAGCAAAGTGGACAACAGGATAACAACAAAAAAGAAAAAAGTTAGTTGTCGAATGCAACCTTGTGGAAGTCAAACTTTTCGTGTTTGCTTTTTTTTTACTGTGGGACAGCAACTCTAATCTGAAGAGATGTTGTTTTTGGTCAGGAAAAGCTCTGATAGATCCAATCAGAAAGATCGCATCGAGCAACTTCTCCTTTTGGTGTGTAGAGGATTGAAGAATCTTTAAACATCGGTTTCTGAGTTTGTCTTTGAGCTCTTGAATCATTTAATATAAAAGCTGATCTGTTGTTTTGTGTGACTGTGAAAACAACTTGAACAACAACCGTTTCTTTAGCAGCTAACAGAAAGAGTTTTATCGTTAATGGGGTGAATAAAGATTTCTGAGGGCTTACTTTTAAGCTTACAGATTGTTGTTAAAGTTGGTGAGAAGATTACGCAGCTGAATCCATGTCAAGTTTATCGCTATTACAATGTTTTATGGTGTGCATACAAGGAGAAAGGTTGCATTTAACTCAAAATGTATCAGCTTAGAAATCATTTAATCCACAGAAAAACTACAGGTGCACAAAAGGATTTTTAATTATTTACCTCTTGAACGCCTCATTACGAAGTGATTTACAGGGTTGCGTTATTGCACGATCGAATACAGGAAATAAAATGCGTCACAGACATTCGGCTGCTCTTCAAAATGAAGCTCAGCTTTCCCTCCTGGCCCTGCTTTGACATGTGTCATTCTTCAGCTCAGGCAGCACACCTTACAGTAAGCTAAAAAAAGACCATACTCAGAAAGAAGAGGCCTTGCAGCAATGTGGCAGAGAGAGGAGGAAGAGGAAGAGGAGGAGGAGGAGGAGACACATACATGCTGCTGCTACTTAACAGTTCAAGTCTAATGTACAGTGCGTGCGCTGAAATGAAGCTTTTATTAACACCAAAGAAAGAAAAGGTCCACAAATAAGAATAGAAAGACATTTACTCCACCTGCTGTTAATAACACTATGGCCTTTATTATGTGATTTGTTTCTTGGGAAAGCTTCATAGAGGCATAAACCGTTAATTAAAGAAAAGCACTGCGTGATCATGAGCTCACTGACCTGATCGTAAAGAGAGGTGAACAAAACCCATTATAAAGTTTGTTTACATGGCTTCAAGTTAGCAACACAACACCATAAATCAAAGCTCAGAGTTAATGAATTTAAGATTAATTGGTGTGAAGTTGAAGTGCCAATAATCCAGAGAGGCAGAATCACCAATTTAAGTCTTAAAACAGTTGTGTCAAGTTTTGCTGTGTTGAATTTCAGGGTATTATCTTCTTACCCAGAACTTTGTTGAGCCTTCAGGGCGAAACCAAACCCAACTCTGTGTGGGTTTTGCTTCTTTGTGGGTCATGCTAACTTTGTAAACTATGACTCACATTACATTATCCCACTCCTTACATGGTTACTTCATGGGAAAGACTTCTCTGACTAAGAAATGACACAGTTTTCCTGTTGAAAATGGTGTGTAATGCCAACAGTTTGAGTTACCATAGTAACTGTTTACTCCCTCAAAAAGAGCTAACTCAGCAGTCACGTTGAATTAAGCTGAACATTACCACTGATGGAGGGCTAACGTCACCGCTGGGGTTTGATATTTTCTTTTCCATCTATCAGACCGGATACTTCACCGTGTTTCTAACTGTTTCTTTCAGTGTTTACGTCAGTTTGGAGGAATTCTTCTCCCCCAAAAAAACAAACCATCATCAAAATAACCAGACGTCTTTCTCAAGGCTGATATGATTACAGCTAATCTCCCACAGTCTGTGATTATAGTGTTGCATCCCTAGCAACAAGTCCACTCTTTATAGCAACGATCTGTTGTCAAGACATACCAGACCGTTTCATGGAAGGACTCAGAACAGCTCCGTCTGAACAGACTAAACTGAAGAACTCATTTCAAAAGAAGGACCTATGGTATCAAAACGTATGAAAACTGGAGGTAATCAATAGCTGTCTGATTACCTATGAGTCGATGACAGGACGATTCAATTTCTATTTAATATTCGGATAAGAACATTTTATCCAATAAAAACAGAAGTTAGGAATTCAAACAGTCACAGAGCAATTGAACAAGCTGACAAGACAGTTACAGATATTAAAACTTTACTCTGTTTCTGAGGTTGATGATGCAGTTGCAGTTTACAAAACTTGTGCAGCACGGATCGCCAAAGGACAAAAAGTCAGCAGCAAGCATCAGCACCAAGAGACACAAACACCATCATGACGTCATGAGAGACTTATGAAAACTCCAGAAAGTTCGCAAGAGAAAGTCGAGAGGTAAACCAAAGAAAGGATGAAATCAAAGGAGGTTATTGGACTTCATCGACTTTTCTGCACGGTGGTCAACCAAGGACTTTGGAAAAGTATATTAGTTTTCCACATGTGTCTGCAAATCATGGCTACTTTCAAAGCAGATGTAGTTTTTATACGCATGCACACTCTTGCCAATAAGGTACATTTCACTGTAGACTTTGCAGGTAATCTTGTCAGTGTTGGCCAAAAGGAGCACTTATTTTATCATTTACTATTACTGTATTTTTCGGACTATAAGGCGCTTAAAAACCTTAAATTTTCTCAAAAATTGACAGTGCGCTTTATAATCAAGCGCACCTTATGTATAATTACTTGTTGTGCTTACTGACCGATTTTATGAGGTACAATGCGCTCAAAAATCTGCGCTCAAATATTTGGAGCATTACGATAACTGTTGTCTGAGCTCTCATAAAAGCTGGAATCATCACTGACCAGCCAAGCACCGGTAACAGCAACGAGACTGACTCGGATAATGACGAGAGGGATCCTGGCATGCTTGATCCTGAAATCGCACCGCTGTTTAACTCAGACACTGAAAATGTCGCTGATGTGAACACTTGTATTGACAGGATATGTTGTTACAACTGAGTTAGATAAGTTTGATTTACCGGACCGTGTTGTTTTGCTTAATGCGCCTTACAATCAAGTGCCCCTTATGGCCCGAGAAATACAATATTATTATTATTATTGGAGCGGTGTCCCATATGCACAAGCAGCCTGGGTTCAGTTCATATTCAGCCGCCTGCTCGCTCTCTCCTTTTCTATCCTGTCACATAAAAGCCAAAAAAATAAGTCACAACTGTCTTTGTCCTGGCCTTGTGATTCTCCTCATCATTAAAGTGTGAAACTTGTCCCCTTGTACAGTCACACTCAAGGACACAGAAAAACATCCTCATTTGGACACTAACAAGCAGATCCTACACCGTCCGTCCAGAAGACGGTGAGAGGCAGACACACGACCAAGAAGGAGGGTGAGCTGATATAATGAGCTAGTAGCATGCGACATCTATTAGCTGTGAGAAGAGCTGCTGTTCCTGGCATCTCTGCCCGCTAATGAACTGATAAACTGGTGGTAGGGCAGTCCCAACACTGTCAGCGTGTCCAGTCATCCGCCTGTCTGTCTGTCTGGTTGACCTTTAAATACAAAGAGGATAGGTAGAAATGCAAACCAAGACTGAGTGAAACAAAGATAGAAAAAGAGGCAGAGAAGTAAGGATCGGGGAGGGGAGAGTGGGAGATAAAAGAGCTGTGAAGTGGGACAGAAAGAAGAGGAATGAGAGGGGAGGAGAGAGATAAAACCCACAGCCGTAGACAGTCCTTAAGCCTGGAGGTTGCTCTGCTAAAAGCCTGTCAAAACCACCGTACACATGCCTGCCAGGCGTTTAAAAAGCACTGGATCATCCTTACAGTATGTGTGTGACGGTGGAGTGTTTGCATCTTTCCCTCCTTTCTAAAAAGAGATGGATGGAGGGGATTCATGAAGGAAAATGGAGTCATCTGAAGCAACCCTGGGCTCCTGATTCCCCCCTGTGTACACACCGCTTCCACTTCTAACAAAACAAATATTAGCATAACTCCGAGCCAGGCCGGGGGAAATAGCGCTCCTCAAAGGAATGCACGCACACACACACTCACACTCGCACTTGAGCATCTGCATGTCCATGAAAGCACCCATGGGACACACATATGTGCCAACACAGACGCACACTAACACACACACACAAACCCTTATCCAGCTCTCACATCTGAAAGGCGTGAGACGAATACACAGACGCACATCATAGAAGGACTTCAGAGAAGGGGGGAAAAAAAGATGGAAACAAGTGCATGGAGGCTGGCAGACAGACTGAATCTCAGATCCGCCTTCATCAGTCTGCCGCTGTCTCTGCTCTTAAGTATTTCCTTAAGTCTACCTCGGAGCTGCGGGAAGCTCAGACAGAAGCACAGCAGAGAAAAGCAGCATACCTATCTGCTTTCCAAGTACAGTCACCTAACGTACAGTGGGAATGACTGCAACCAATCTGAATCTGATCCCATATCATGAAGACCTGGATTCGTATATTGAACATGTTTTGATATGATCCCAAGTGAGGGAGCAGTAAAACAGATACTGACACCACACACTTGAGGATTATTCCGACAAATGATCAGTTACGCGAAATCTCAAATCAGTTAGTGTTAAGAATAGAAGAAATGCCAACCCCTTCACTCCCCCTTGATGATTGGCTATGGTATAACTTAGGGCTGGATGATACGTCCTCAAATCAATATCACGATATATTGAGTAGTAGTAGAAAGAAACTGACAAGGAGCTGTTGTGCTGTAAACTGCATGAATCGGCAAAACAAACAATCGGCAAACATGACGACCCCGCTCCTGATATTAGAAACATCTAAAACGACGTCACAACCTGGTAAAGTGAGTGGAATTGATGGATATTTCAGCAAGCGCTTTTCTGATTTTGATGCAATGAAAGACAAAGCGATCTTTCAACGAAATGACATTTTATTGCAATTGTGTCAGGGAGAACTTGCAAACAATATGGCGTCTTCATTGATATCAGTTTTACTCCGAAGCAGGCTTTTGCCCCATGGTTGCACACACACCTTGTACTGTTTGTACACAAGGAACCCGTCTACACATTTTCCCTCATGCTTCTGTGCATGCCTTGACTCTAATACACCATCACCAACTAAGGCTGTATTTTAGCTTCACTTCTTTTAACAGGGGCACACCGTCCACATTTTTGTACAGCCAATACTACAACTACTACCACAGAAGCTGGTAAATAAAGTAGAAAAGTTATGATGTAAATGTTGTCCTCTGATATTTGACCATTTCTTCACATTACAGTGAATTCTATAACTGCCTTATTTTGTAAAACAAGCAAACCATGAAATGTGGAGAATACGGCTTAAAAGCCGATAAACCAGCTGGTTTTCCCCCCTTTAGTTTCACTTTTTTGAGCAAACACGCAATCTGAAGATGTGACTTTGACTAAATTATTCATGTTAAGCACAAACACTCGTTTAACATGCAGCTCTCACTTGAGTGTGGCGCGCTGAGGGCTTCTCTCCGCCTCTCTATTTGCTGAACTTTTACAATTACCGAGGCGTTTCTGTATGCATACTGTGATAGTGCATCGTGTGCTTTTGTCTGTCTGGTGAGGGAAATCAGATCTCATTATTTCAGCCAGGCAGACAAATATCCGCATCTAAACTCAATGGTAAGACGAGGCGGTTTGGTTTCTGTGAAAGAGACACAGACACAGAGATTGAGACAGAGTCTGTTAATCCCTTATTAACAAAGTTCTTTAAGGTGGCAGATCAGACTGCTGGCTTTCACTTTATCTCCTCCACTTGGGCCACATCCATACACACACACACACACACACACACAGTCAGTTCACCAAGAGACAGGATCTGTGCTCCGCCCTGTTGAACTCCACTGTCAACAAACTTGACTCTTTTTCCGCTTCTTCCTCCCTCCTGACTTGGACTTTACCACTTCACTACAGACAGGATACTTTAGAGAGGAGGCAGGTGGGCCGAGAGGGGCATGAGGGGTGTCCTCCCACTAGGGCTGGAGAGGAGGAAAGACAAGAGCAGCAGTGTGTGGAGAAGTCTGATGATTTTTATAATTTTCCCCCTCACAGAAGAAGTGTCTTAGATTATCTAAAGTTTATTTTGTTCTTAAAAATATCTAATAACATTGATAATGTATGGATTAGGTAATTAAAAAGGAAAAGGAGACAATAATGTGAGCCCTTTACAACTTAAAGCTCCTGTGAGGAGTTTTTTGACATTCATGTTGAAGCCTTTTCTGGTCTATAAAAGCAAACAAGACCATCAACAACAAGACTGACTATTTCATACAGTAATTTTTTTTTTAATTCTTTCATTTCCCATCTGAAATTTTCACAAAAAGTGATTTAGTAAACTGTCAAAAATCAGCAGATGACACTTTTTGTCGAAGGACACTTCTTTGGCATGGATAAAAACTTAATTCTGACTAATTTATTGCTTTACTACAATATTTTTTCTACTTTTACCCTGAATTTTATTACTTTTCTTTTGTTGTATTTTAACTACTTTAATAAATGTGGTTTATTTCCTCTCAAACTTTTCTCTTTTGAAACTCTGAGACTTTTTTTATGATAAAAATAAGACTTTTCTTGTAAAACTAAGATTTTCTTCTACAATAATTATGACTTTATTCTTCCAAATTCATAAGTTAATACTGAAAGTCTTATTTTTTCACCTCTTCTTATATGTACCTTTGTTTATTTGTCTTTAACAAAACCAATAAACCAAAATTAGGGTAATTATACGGCATGTGAATTGTATTTTTCCACTCTTATTCTCACTTCTTGAAAATGTACAACTGCAAAATTTCTCTTTATAATACTCTATACTGTCGAGATCTCAATTCTATAGCCCTGTATTCCATTAATTTGATCTAGATTTTACAAGTGTCCAAAAAACTTCTTAATTAAAAGTTAAAACATTAACAAAACATTAAGTTTTGTACAAACGGATTCCTCTCTAAACCCTCTGTTTTCAAATAGAGGAAGTTATTGTCCGAAGAAGCGCCTCCACATGACGTCTTACAGTGGTCTAAAAAATAACTTCCTCTTGTTACTCCAGCAAATCTTTCCAGATGCTCTCAAGAGTGGACACCAATAAAGGAGGACAGGAAAATATGAGTGCAAGTGAGCTTGGCAGCTATAAGGGGACACAGATTGGCTCCTCTGAAATCATCCGGCAGTGGCCATCGACAGCTGCAGCCTTCATGGAGGAAGTATGAATAACAGCTGGATCTGAGTTGGTGTTATAAGAGATATTAAAAAAACAGACAGTGGGAGTTTATTAGATTTGTCCCACAAACACCTGCTGGAAGGGAATAATTGGCAGCCGAAGAGAGATTGTTTAGATAGCGGAGATGGGAAGAAAAGGATGTAAAAAAAAAACACCTACAAGATTTAAAGAGAGGCTTTCCAAACTGTAACTCTAACAACACAGCCAAAAAAAGGTTTGTGTGTCTGTGTGTGAGTCTGCTTTTGTGCTCTTTGAACCCACTCTAACTTTTATTGCCCTCCCAGGGATCATAATAAGGAACTAATTGATAGTCTTTGAGCCGCGGGCTGAGGAGAGGGGGAGTTCCTGCAGGAAGTCAACACAAATCAAACTCTCCCTGAGCCCTTAAGGTCTGGAGCGACTCCAGCTGAGTTGTGGTGGGTAACAGTGGCTTTGTGCACGTGTGTGTGCATGTGTGTGTGTTTGTGTGGGTGGTTAGGAAAGAGACAGACAGAGGGCAGAGAGAGGAAATGCGAAAGAGCGCGCCTGAGATAAAGAAAGAGCAATAGTCTTGGAGTTGACATTTACTGTGTGCTTCTAGATGTCGCCTCCTCGTTTAACCGCACAAGTTTCTGCTTTTGACCCTGAACTGAAGAAAGTACAAACACTCCAGATAAATGCCACATCCTCCCTATCCATGTCGACTTCTACATGCCTTGTATACATATATGTTACATCCTCCATCTAATGTTATCATTACTATATTTTCTGCTGGTATTTCTCATGTTTCTGTCATCACTGATGCCGCTGCTGCAGTTAGTTTCTTTTATTTGTTGTTCTTTTGGAGCGAGTCCGTCCGTCTCTCTCTCTCTTTTTCTGTCTCTCCCTCTATTCCATTTTCTTGGCCTGCTGTTCGTAACAGATGGTTGTCAACCATTCAGTCCAGTTCTGCCTGTGAAAACAAAGTTTTTTTCCTGCCAAAGCTGCCAAACGCTTTTTCAGTGGTGGACCAGTGTTGTTTATCTATAATAGATAATGCATCCAAGATCAGCTCTTCAAGCTCCTGTAGGGGGCGAGTCAATACTGGCACCCTTTGTTGACGAATACTCAAGCGTTACAAAGGAAAAAACGCTAATATTTGGACTAAACCATGTGTGACAGCAGTAGGTTTATTGTGGTTTAGAGCTGCAGCTATCGAATATTTTAGTAATTGAGTATTCTACCGAATATTGTATTGATTATTCGAGTAATTGGACCAAAACGCCAGACTCACATAAAGTTAGATTTCCTATAGCCTCACAATGAAGGCCAGACTGAGAAATAGAGGACAATCGCGGAACAAGCGTGTGCGTTAGCGGATTGCTATGCTCGTAAGAAAGCTAATTATGATATTAACTTTCATCATGCCCCTAAAGACATTAGTGTCTGCTTCTGCTACGACACCAGCATTGTTAGGCTACAAGCTAGCATGACGAGAAGTTTGCAGGGCAGCGTTGTCTCCACCCACGACACAGAGGCTAAGTGCTAATGAGCTACTGGAGCTCTGCATAAGAAAACAGTGTTGCCAACTCCTCAGTAAGGAAAGTGGCTAGGTTGGCAACACAGCAAGAACAGCCCCTCTCATCATTCATTTTTTCCGCTCCGCAAAACCTAAACAGCGCTTACTCCTCCCTCTACCGTGGTGACATAAGTGCATTGTGTCAAACAGTGACGATTTGAGCTTATAAACGAGTACTGGAGGCAGAGAAAAATTCCTCGATCATTATTTGTAATCGAGGTTCTCGGTATTTGAGGAATCGTTTCAGCCCTACTGTGGTTACATTAAAACAGTCTAATATACATTTTTGAAGTTTAATAACAATCCGCCTCGTGTGCAGGCCGATACGAACACAAATCTGAGGGGCTTTTTAGCTGGATAAGAATTTTTAAATAAAAATAATAATTTATTGCGATGCGATCTTCGTTAGCACCTGTTTCTGTTTAACCTTCACATGATTATAAACGCTAGTATGGACAGGGGCTGAAATTAAGAATGTCAAAGCAGCTGTGCCTGTAATTCAACAATGACTGTTGTAAAGCAAACACTAACGGAGGTGAACTAGCATTCGCTAAGCAAGCTTCTCCCGATACAACACAAACATATTTTGTACTTGCGTCATAGACTAATGATTGGTTAATGTGATTTAAAAATATCTACGAGGTTATTTGTAAACTCATCTCTCTGCGATACATGATGATGCAGCGGCTCCAGGGTGTCGTTGTTTGAGGTGTTCATTCTTACCATGAAATAAGAGCTGAACTTCACAGAGTTTGCGTTTAACGTGTTTCGCTGGTTCATTTTCTGTGAAATGTTCCCAAACTTTTGAGCTTTTGAGCCTCTTCGTTTGTTTGTTCCCCCATAATACATGTATTATTGATCCATACTGCCCCCAGCACTTCCTGTGTGCACTGCAGTTACAGATGAGCATAAAGCGACTGGTGTGTGATTTACAATAACACAACTCGTTACACTTACATTTTTTACATCAACAGTTTTTTTGTAGTCGATGAATCTTTGCAGCGCTAGAAATTTGCATTACGTACAGTTAGGGGGTTATTTTTTTAAATAGGGCCAAAATCTGTCCCATCTCACGCTGTCAGAATAACCCACATGGTATGAGTACTTATTTCATTCTGTCATAAGCAGTCTGAAAGTCCTCACCAGAGTTATGAGGTCAAACATCCTGAAATTAAACCTGTATTTGCTGCTGTTTAATGACATTTTGATTGATTGAAGTCGTCGATCCACAAATAATAAACACATAATCCAGGAAATAAACAGCTGAGGAGAAATCTGTGACAAGACATTTTCTTCGAGATGCGTTTTTTTTTCCTCTCCCTTCAAGGCTCAACATTTAATAATCGGAGGAAATTTAATCTTGACGCTTTTCATTTTCTTCCGGCTCCTCGAGGATTAGGTCACATATCCTCTGTAGGTAGAAACGCCGCCCCTCCCACCCCTCCCCGTGAGCTGAGCATGTGGCTGCGCTCGGCTCAGATTCATATCGTCTCCGGTTCCAAAACAAACGTCCGACTGACATCGAAAGGCATACGCCACATTCCACAGGGCTCAGGCCAATCCATAAAGGGGGGTGGGCGGGGGTATGAGGGGTTTCCTGCACAAACTTTCAGGGGTTTATACACCATGCACACACTTACTGGCCTTCTTGCTGCTAAAAGTGTCTACTATGAAACTTATGAACTCTTTAAAAGACAAGTTCTGAGCATTATGTCTTTATCTTGTTTTAATCTGACTAAAAGGTAAATAGCATGCGGCTGATGTAGCTTATTCCTCTGTACTACAGAGCTCCATTGTCGACCAAATCCCACAAACACCAACGTGCTGACATGAATACTCACAAGTTCACCACATGAGAGTTTTTTTTCTCAGCTCTAAACAGACCAAACAAAAAAAAAACTCGACACTTTATACCCTGTTTGAGTTTTTCCATCTTTAATCTATAACTTTATTTGGATAAACCGCGGTATTCAGAGCTCCTTGCAGAAACCCTTTTTCTTACACTTAAATTTGAGTCCAGCATTAATCTATCTCAGCTGTAATGTGGTCTGCCAACTCTTTGAGGAGAAACATCTGTGTCTCTTCCATCTTCAGATGTTTGAACGTCTTCCCAAGCTACCAAGTTGCTTTAACTCCTCGCTGTTTTTTCACGAGCAGGTGGTTTACGGTCAGCTAGCACGCTGAAAGCTGTAGTTGAACATCACTGGGACGGTGACAGCTGCTGTCGAACGCAGAAATCATTAATTACCCTCAAATGTTTCTCATCATGAAATCAGCGTAAAATGGGAGTTCTCAGCTGCGAAAACCAAAAGACCCCTCTGAGACTCCGAATATTAAACTTTTATGAGCTCCGTCATCTCAGGACAAGAGGCCAACTAGACTTTCACACCGGCTCGAGAATGAGAGTGAAGAGCTGAGTTTTCCCTTTTTGTTCCTCTGAGTCTGAACACTGTTATTAAAAAGGATGAGACTGACCCTTTTACTGGAGGCATTAGCACAGCTTTATAACCCCATAAAGATTTAAGTAAACGGCCCTGAGAATGAGACCTCTTCAGACGTGTCAGGTAACTGGCTCTGCTGGGCAAAAACACTGACTTTCTGGGATAGAAGATAACTCCGTACTGAACAACTAGGACATTTCCAAGAGATATAACTTTTAGTGGAGGCTGTTGGAGGATGAAGGACGGGGTACGTGAAGATAAAAGTAGGTACTAACAAAGAAACAAAAAGAGCGATCTAATGAGTTATTTCTTTTTGTTTCCAACCAAATCAGAGCAGATTCTCACATTCTAGGAGCAGACTTAGCTTACAGAGTGGATTCATAACCCAGCCTTTCTTATCACAGTGCTATTCAACCAGCACCACGGGCGCCCCTGTTTTTTCCTTCCACAGACCAGTAAGTCACAACATGGAGCGCCTATGATTTCCTCCCTCACAGTATTGCTTCCCAACAGGAAGAAAGTCGATTTCATGGTTTCCTGGAAAAACAAAGAAACCTGCTGACACCACTTATGGAAGAAGGGGGCCGATGGTGCCTCAGTTTCACCCACTAATGTACCAGTTTGGTTGTGTAATAAAGATTTATAGTGAAACATTCTTGATTTATTGCACCTTCGAGAAATTAGCAACTTTATACCACATTTAAAGTAGTTCATTTGACCAATTTTGAATTCATCGGACTTCAGCCCTCGTTTAAAATTTCTGTGAGAAACTTTCAGCTGACACCTACCCGCCTCGCACCACTTTCAGCCATTAAAAACTACAATTTAAAAATCATCAGTGTTATTGTTGATGATATTGTTTGCCTTTGGAAATCAAGAAAAGGCCGCAATGTGAATTTCAGGTATGGCTGGGCGATAAACCAAAAATTTGCTGATACCGAAATTTACGACAATAACCATCGTCGTTTTGACAATGTCAGTATATTCGGTGTCACAAAAATAAATAAATAAAAGTTGGTTTTGGATGTGTGTAGGTAGGCTATGGTCTCATGTTTCTATAGGATGCTGTTCAACATTGAAGACGTGACTCCACCCCATCCAGTCCGTAACAAAGAGGGAAAGACAGGTGAGGAGATGGAGGACGGTTCAAAAGTTGGAGCGGCTAAAGTAGATGAGGTTAATGTAAGAGTGGGTGAGCAGCTTGTGGAGTAGTTATCGTCCATTTATCGTTATTAATATATCATGATATTGATTTGAGGCCGTATCGCCCAGCCCTGATTTCAGTCTATTTCATTAACGTGTACAAACTCCTTCTAGTAGCTTTAACGCCGATTTTGGTCTCAACATCCAAAAACAAACATCACAAATCTAAACAGCTCCAAGAAATGTCTTCAAATATCTTGTTTGTTATATTTACTTTTATAGTAATAAAAGTAAAAAAACGTCAATATTATTGGTTTATATACTGTAAATGTGATGAAATCCTGACTTGTTGCTCGAAAAATGACTCTAAGGATGAAACGATCACTTCAAACCCGGCTAGCATACACTGCTGAGTTATCTTGCTTCCTCAAGAGTATGTCAGTTCAAACACATGGATTTTCTTCTTTGCTTCGCCACATTACAGCTGATTTACTTCATTTCAAATCACTACATATTTCCCCTCTATAATTAAAGGCTGTTTGATGCTGTCATGCAGCTCTCCGGGGGCCCTGATCAGACTTAATGTAAAGTTAATGTAAACCTTCTCCCTGTGAAATTCCTCCCCAGACGCTGCCAGAACTCATAAAGACAGGGGGAACAATCTGGAGCTCATGTGGCTTCAACATGGCCCTGCTTAGTGAATACCTCAGTGCTGTGGTATCCAGCCTCATGGACCGTAACCGACTCTCTTTCTGCCTTCTCGCACTAGCAGGAGCTCCCATGACTTCTCCACCCTCCAGTGCGCCTCTCTGCTTGCCCGTGCACCGGTTGGGAATTGGGGAAATTCCTCAGCACCGTTAAACGGCTCCTGATACGCACGAGAAAGCCTCGATTCTTTGTCAGCTGTGAAACTCGAGACACTGGGAAAAAGGGCTTCACCTTCCAGTCATCTCCGGTGCTGAGGAAAGGGAGAGAAAAACAGGAAAAAATTGCTGCAGCATGGCAGCGCTTTCCTTCAGACTTAAGAGAAAATTAAAGTTTGAGAGGAAAACTTGGAGTAGAGGGAACGAGAGCGAGAGATTTAAGAGTGTTATATAAACCAGGTTCCATATTCAGCGCCTAAAAAACTTCAATAACCTGAAAGCACTAAGGCACAGCATGGGAACAATCTTGACTTTCTCCTTTCAGCTGGGACTGATAGAGGGGCCCGTGTCATGAATAGCACATATCAGAGGCTAAAACTTCTCTCAGGGACTCGAAATGGAGTCGGGCCATGTACATACAAATGTGAGCAGCTGTATGAATAAGAGCCAGAACTTTTTAACAAGAGCTTATAAATGGAAAGGACAGTTCATCTCTCTGTTGGACATTGAAACGATCTCTCTGGCCCTTAAATGACTATCACTGGTTGGACTGTAAATGTCCTACTTTCTCGGAGTTAAAAGTCCAAACCCTGTTTGCGTTACATTCAAGGTTTTCTACAAAGTATCAATAATCCTACGAAGTGAAAACTTTAGCCTCTTTTAACCGGTAATGACTGGCTTTCTGGCCACTTGGGGGCAGCAAAAAGAAGATGTAAAGACAAAATTGATCCATAACAACTCTTCTTTTGGTCTCCACAAGCTCATGTAGATCACAAAGAGTCAGTCCTTTAAAGGCGAGGTGTCGTACTTGGTTGTCATAAATAGGGGTGTCCCGATTCAAATTTTTGACTTCCGATCATAGACTGTATATAGAATGGACAGTGTCTGCCTCGTCTCTGGGTGAAGCCACCGTGAGAACAGCGCCCTCTGGTGATGGGCTGCAGTATAGGTCACAAATCCCGCCTCCTCCAGCAATCCCTACGGAGTTGTGGACAAACTTTAGAAATTTATAACAGAGAATATAAATTTTTCTCCCACTTGTTGTGATGTTGACATGTAGTTACAGTAAGACTGGTTTGAGGTCAAATCATTTTTAAAAGTTATTAGGGGGTTCATGTTTTCTACGATCCACACTTAATACAGCCTATGGGTGTATGAAGATTGTGTAGCTCACCCAGGGGATATGCTGTTTGAGCCGAGAGCCATCACAGCGACTCCCTGCGACTCTCCCTCCGAATGCGCACAATGTTACTGCACAAGGTTGGTTTCAGGAAGTGAAGAAAATCCCAGGAATACCGAGAGCTTGTTGGCTTCAAATCCGTATATTGGTGGGAGGCAGAACCAAGTTAGTATATACAGTCTATGGGTTTCGTCTTTGTTCAACCTTTAGCCTCTTGGAACCAGTAATAACTGGTTTTGTTGGCCACGTGGGGGCAGCAAAAAGAAGACGTAAAGACAAAAGTGGTTCCTAACAACTCTACTTTTGGTCTCCACCAGCTAATTCAGATCACAAAGAGTCAGTCCTTTAAAGGCGAGGCGTCTTCTTTGGTTGTCACAAAGTTTCCAAACCAAAGAACCCTGTGTTTGTTTGTTTGTCTGTCTGTCAGCTCAGACTGTAGGATGAAGAAAAGCAAACTCACATCAAAAAAAGGAACGGTTCAACGTCGGGCTCGAAAGCCGCAGCTGACACAAACAAAGACACCCTGGGACAAGGTTTTCATGACATCATCCCGGAGTCCTCCTTTAATTTACAGCCACCTCTGCCTCTGATTGCAACCTTCAACTGGAACCAAAGAGGCCCTCTGTTTCCTTCTCTGTAATATCCTCTCCAAATCATGGCTGAAAATGACTCAGCCTGCAGTGCCCACTTAACACGTGGGGGACATTAGCATTGTGACAAAAGCTCATTCTCTCCAGAAGGTCTCTGTGACCCTCCTCCATTCACTCACTCTTAATATAACATGAAAGCTATCAGGCATCTGGCTCTCTATCAGTGCAGCTACTAATATCTCTCTTTGCCCCACATTTCCAGCCCTTCACCTGTATCATATTAATGCTCACTCAGCTTAGCTGTTCGCCCACAGGTGCACACGGTGTAAGACCATAGCCTTTTGTCTGCGAAGGAGCAGGAAATTAATACTTACGCAGTGAACTTTGCAGGTATTCTCAGAGGAGCTGCAGCGAGGAAGGAGAATATAGAGCTTGTTTCATATCCCGCCTTGCTGCATGTGCAAGATCTTCCAGGCTTGCTAAGTTTGTGATACTCAACTCTTTGTGCAGCGCATGAGTGAGTTTGTATCCTGAAAAGTCCCGCCAGGATTCTGCAGGATTTTTCTGTGATTTCTGCTCCCCTAAAATGCCTGGATTTTGTTGTTTTTTTCTACTCTTGCTTGCTCGAAATCCAAATTAAATGTACAAAAACTAATACAACTTACTTAAACAGCTGATTTGGCACTAATTATGCAAAATGCTTCACATATCACACAAATACACACATTTCTGATGCTGCAGTTGTATAAAAATATTCATGAGATTACTTTCCCACTGCTCAAGAGCTCTTCGTCATCAGTGCTGACACAGGACTCAGGAAAGTCAAGAGCAGAGCTTCTGATCGATCAACAGGTTCAACACAGGACATGAGAAAGTGTCAAAGGTAATCACAAATGGACGCCAAGCGCTTGATTTATTCACTGTATGTATGCGCGCGACTGTTATCTGTCTCTCCTTGCTCCCCTGATGGAAGCACACAGGGTTTTTAGTCAAGCAGCATGTGGCCCGGCACTGAAGCTGTGCTGTGTTTAGCTGCTGTCAGACACACAGACTCTGCTGGTTTTTAAAGCTGGGCAGCAGGAGGAGGATACTTACAGATGGTGCCAAGACCATCTGTAAGGGAGCGAGCGCAGGAGAGAAAACAGGTCCCTCTTTATCTCACGTCCTTGGACCAGCCTGCTAAAAAGACAGGGGGTGGATGGAGGGAAAAATCTGTCAAAGATCATGTGTGGAGGCTTTGAATCCAAGTTTGGTGCCGTTTACCGGACATACTGTCGAAATGATGATGTTTATTGAATTTTATCCACCAGGGTAGGGCTGGGCGATATGGCCTCAAATCAAAATCACCATATATTAATAACGATAAATGGACGATAACTACTTCACAAGCTGCTCACCCCCTCCCACATTAACTTCATCTACTTCAGCCGCTACAGCTTTTGAACTGTCCCCCATCTCCTCACCTGTCCTTCCCTCTTTGTTACAGACTGGATGAGGTGGAGTCACACCTCCAACATAGGAAAGCATCTTAAAAGGACATGAGACCATAGCCTACCTACACACATTATTTTTTTGACACTGAATATACTGACATGGGCAAAATGATGTTGGTTATAGTCGTAAATTTTGGTATTGGTAAATTTTCAGTTTATCGCCCAGCCCTACATCAGGGACAGTTTGTTCTAGTTGGAACTAAGTGATTAATTAATGATCAGACTATTGACAGAGGATTGATCGCAAACCTTTCTAGTCCACTACTCACAGATAGTACGACTTGGCTGTATTTTGATAAGGTTGTATGTAATGCAAATGCTCATTTAACTTGTCAAAAATCTCCACAAACATCTCCATATTCTAAGAAAAAAAGTATAGATTTTTAAACTTCACACTCTCCTTGTTTAAATAGTGATTTCTTCACCACATACGAGTCAATAAAATGGTCAAAGTTGTTAAACTTTTGTGCAAAAGCACCGTGGTCTCTGCAGGATCTGTGTCTCTCCCTGATGACCGAGCGTCCAATTATAGCAGCACGACTCTCGTGTCCTCTGACCCCCACCGCTGACACCGATGCCTCGCTGGTAAACATACCTGCTCTTAGCATTTGATATCTGACCACTTCCTCTTTTGTGCTGGAAATGTTCTGCAGCTCTCCCGTGTTGGCAGCATCGGACTTCTGCTGCTTTAACAAGCTGCCAGAATTATCCTTCGCTGGTCAAAACAGAACCATGAATTCTAAATATAACACATCCTGCCTCTGACACAGGAAGTTTATGAAAGGATCTGCGGCCTGGCTTTTTTTGTCACTTTGCAAGCAGACACTTATGCTAACAAATAACAGATTTATACTCCTATAAATATTGAAAACGGCTGTTTTAGAGAGGATTTTAAGCCGAGTAAATAGAGTGGAAACTAGGCTCTTGGAGTGTGGAATATTTTGAGGTTCACTTTTCATAATGAGGAGTGTTTTGGTGCTTTTACAGATCGTAAGCATTGACATATGAGTTGAATTCTATTCTTTTTGCATTAAAAACACATTTCTGGGTAAATATAACCTCCATTATTCGGCGTATAAAGACTTCAAAAGCTTCACGGTGCTCCCAGCTGAGATACATCACGCTGTTTGTTATATAAACCTCTGCTGTGCATACACACACCTGTGCCACAGGCAAACACACGCTTCTACTGCTGCGCCTCGGGTACACAAATACACGCACGCTCCTTAGATATATATGTACACACCAGCTCTCACATGTCCATGAACACACAAACTATAGGCGGCTTTGACCTGTGCATTGACTCTTCATCATTCGGTGTGTTCATACACCCCTTTATATGTCCTATCTCTGCACACATGCGCATAAACACACAAAAACACACAGGCTGCTCCTCCATCAGGTCGTCAGTGTGTCAGTCAGAGCTCTGGAAACAGATGAATGCAGTCTTTCAAGCTGCAGCAGGCTGACAAAATCAACCATTCCCGCTCTAACACAGGTGCTGCTGCTGCTGCACTGAAATGAATACACCTGTATGAAAATATAGAAAATATATAGCCTCTCCTTGGAGTCATGATGTTGCAATCCAACCATTTAAGCACATCCAACCTATACTTGTGTATTCAGCTCATCTTTGTGATTCTGTCCAGGCGCTGCAACTTCTCTGCCAATTTGACCAACTAACCTCTTTCTCCATCTGCACCAGGGGCTGAAAATGTTGTGCAAATATCCAAAGAGATTGCTTATTACTTTTCAGTCCACTTCACCCTAAAATCTTACTTTAAAGTGGGTGATTCCATTGAAGGCTCTGGTGCGATCATCTCTCTCAAGCTTCACATTCTGTCGTCTTTTCACCAACTTTAAACAGTGAATCAGACTTCATAATACAAGTTTAATACTCAATTTCCTCTATTTACTATTACTTATATATGCTTAAGAGTCTCACAAAACTCAACAACTCGTTCGTCAAGCTGAGTTTGTAGCTAACAGGAAAAGGGACATAAATATGGACGTTATCAGGCCAGCCTCTAGTGGACACTTGAGGAACTGCATGTTTTTGTTTTTGTATTTTGCACTTTATCTGCAGCTTCATTTCAACAAAGGAGGTAGGGATGTCCCGATCCATATTGACTTTGGATATCGGTTTGATATCAGCAAAAAAACAAATATCTGATTATATCGGCCTGCATCTAAAATCTCCAATATCAGCTCCGATACAGACTCCGCTCCAGGACCTCGATCTAGCAGCAGAGCCCATGTGATCACAGCAATAGTGTGTACTAAGGGACTAACAAGCTAAACTTGTCACGCACAAGTTTGTGCCAACATCGGGTTAATATCAGTAGCAGCCAATATTGACGGCTACAATATCGGTATTGTATCGGAAGTAAAAAAGTTGTATTAGGATACCCCTAACAGGAGGTAAACCATCTGCTTTGCCACTTTGGACATGACTCTGCTCTGTTTCTGCCCAGAAAAACCCACTTAGCATTACCCCTTCTTATTCATAGTGCTTCAGGCTCTCATGTAGACTTTAATATGCATACTGCAAATGAGCTTTGAATACAAAGTATCCATTATTTTATCCATAAACATAAAACTTGGCATTTTGATCGAGGAAAATGACCAGAAGTGATATTTTTAGACTTCGACATCGCTGTCTGATGTGTCAAAAAAAGGAAAAACTGCTTAAAAATGGTCGCTTGTTTTTCAGCTTTGTAAAAAAGCCGAAATCCTGGAAATTCTTCAAGGACTGAGTCAGTCTGATAATCACAAGCGGGTCACACAGGGTCAGTCGGAGTCCTTTCCTCACCTCTACTCTCTCGTCGTCAACAAAGCTAAAACCCCACAACTGGAATGTGTTTTGTTTGAGACCTACCACTATAATTAGGCGCTGCGTTATGTGTTTGCATTTGTTCCATGATGCCTGCGCGTGCTTTGAACTCGCACTCTTTGTTCTTGCCAAATGCTAATCATTCAAATTACACGTCGAAGACTGCAAACGTCTCGGAGTCCAAACTGTTGGGCTAAGAAACTCACTGGTGCTCACTCAGTTCGCTGTTGCACCTCTGTCTGCTCCTTATGGCAAACACAAAAGGGGGGCAGCTAAGTGCTCTGAACCTAGTGCCCTTAATCTTGAGAACAATGGCATGCACTCAGTTTCTCGCTCAAGATACCGGGTCATTAATCACTAATCATGCGCTCCAGCCTTACTTGTCCTGAACTCACGTAGCTGCGTAGTCGATTCATGTTAAACCTAGTATTGTTAGTGAAGGAGAAGCCACTGAGCCAATCACTCGTCAGGGTTGTAAATATGGAGAGGAGTTACAAAGGAAATCCGAAGTAAAAACAGTTTTTTTAACAGAGTGATGTTAGAGGCTTAACAATCCCCCCTGAGTCACACAACCTGTCTCCAACGTCTCACACACACTCTGCTTTTCTCTGTCACTTTGTCAATAAAAGGGCATGGTTTCCATCAACTCTGCCTTTTAAAAGCCTGCGTGTGTTCCTCGGGTGTTACAAAATCCCCGGGGCAACATGTGTGTGATTGTGTGCTTGGTATCTCTGCATTCATGTGGATGTGATCAGATACTCAGAGCACATTCATTCGCGTTTGTGTCTCTTTGATGGATCATGTACTTCATATTTTTCTCCTTTGTTCCCTCTGATGTGTTTCTTATTGCTAAAAGGGACACTCCCAGCTCTTGGTTGCCAGATCATTAACACCCACGACATGAAAGCAATGGGGAGGTCAGAGTTCACCTCGTGTCCTCCTCACCAAATAAAATACAAGAGATACTAAGAACAGACTGGAGAAGCAGGAGGAGGCAGTGTGGCTCTGATTAAAAGGTCCTTACATACCGGGAACGTTTTTTCGTGCGATTATTTCGGACACTAGTGTCTAATCAGAACTGAAAAACAGTCAGTCTGCTGTTCTGTCAGTCTTCTCGCTTCCACCTGGGACGCGTCTTTTTTCCCCCCGAAAAGTCACAAAATTGCATCGGGCTTGATGTGTATAGTCAGGTGCGTCAAAATTCGCCTCCGAATATTTCGTGATTTTGCGTCGTATATTCGCGTCATTCCCCATGTGTAAGGACCTTAAAGCTCAATGCAAAGTGTAGATTAAAGCTCCTGTAAGGAGTTTTTCGATGTCTATGAAACAGACTCAAATTCACATCGATGCTTCTTTATGATATCCGAATGCAAACAAGACCATAAGCAACATGGCAGAGTTTTTTTACACTGTAAATTTTAGAGAGTGGGTTGGTGCGCAGTCTCTACAATCAACACAAACCAAGAGTTACTTATAGGAGCTTTAAAGAAAGCATTCACCACTGCAAAGAGTGATCGCATGAAGAGACAGAGAACGAAACAACCAAAACATACAAATGGGAAACAACAGATTTATATTACAGGGAGACAAAGAGAAGTGATGGATGTGCTGTTTTGAAAACTGGACTTAAGTGATATCAGCTGTTTTCTTTCCTACCAACTACGAAAGTTTGGAGTTTCACACTATTTTAACTTGGTCTTTTGTTCATACAAAAGCAACTTGTGTCAAATTACACGTAGAGTTCAGAGTTGATTTTAAATGTTGCAGAAAATTTTCATTTTCATTTTCTATATCTGTTCAGGATTCCTATTTGTATTCAATAAACTAGATGCTCTCTCACTGTCTGATAACCTGCACCTGAAACATGCTCTGCTGCAGGTGATCAGAGAGAAAGAAAAACCAAAACAAAATAAGTGAAGAAAATTTAAGCTCTTTGCAGACACGCTTGAAACCAACCATTCAGTGTATGATGAAGTTTTTTCATAACAGATTTAATAGAAGGACAACATGACTTATTATTGAGGGGTACTATCTTACAATATGTTCAGCTGAACCCCCTCAAACATGAAACCTCCACCACAGTTCCAGCATCTTTCTGTGAGCAACATGGTGGATATTTCTGGTAGTAATTCGTCATCATAGCTTTGTGTTTTCATGGATGTTGCAACGGCGTAATATTATGGGTGAAACCACATATTTAACCATGATACAGGGCTTATCTCTGCACGTGGTTGGGAATACAATACAAGGATGATATTGGCTGATATTGACTGATATGATGCAATATGGCACAGCGACTGGAAACTGATGCATCACTGTTTTTTTTTTTTAACCAACACTTCAATGTGTGAGAAATTCAATCCAGAAAAACACCTGGATATGTTGACATTATGGTAAGAGGTTATAGATGGTAATGAAGGGGATGAATGAATTGTCACACCCTGGTGCAATATTGGTGCCACGGTGATTTCACATTGCGTTATGATGTTGCAGATGCATGAGAGATGAAAACACAGCAGGAGCTCCTCACTGCCTGCTCCCCTCGCCACTAACTCCTCTGCTATAACCCCCGAGACCTCACCTTTAACTAGCCATATGAAAAAGGGTTCAGTTTTGGCCACACTAAAGATTCTGATCTGAAACATAACAGCAAATGTTAACCATCAAATCATTTCTGTGCCTATTAATACCGTACATGTGGCTTTTTCTGCACTTATCGGCATACAGAGGGATAAAATGATGGAGTGCCACATTCCTCCATCCAGGACGCCAATCTCTCACTGCTGCCAGTTCTGACAAATAAGCCTTTATCACCTGAGATGAAAGCCAGAGGGGCGAGGGAAAGAGGGAGAGAGAGAGTAGCAGATGGGGCAGAGGCATGCGAAGAGGAGGAGGAGGAGGAGGGGGTGACGGAGAGAGGGAGGGAGGGAGGAGAACAATTTTGCCGCTTTGTTGGCTGATCTGGTTCAATCCTTGTGGCGCAGCGATTGAATTCCCATCCAAGCCTTTTCCCTTAAGAGGATTTGGGCTCATGGGAGTCGGCAGGCCACAAGACTACGGTGTGAGGGGAGGAACCCGTGATGAGGGTGACAGAGGACAAGGGGGGAAGGAGGAAAGAAAGGGATGAAGGAAATTGCAGGAAATAAAAAAGCAATCTATATTTACAAGGAGGACAAAAAAGAGACAAGGTCGGGGATAAATTCTGCTCGGAGTTGAAGCAAACTTGTTATCACTCCTCGCAGGGATAATGTGTTCGCTATTTAAAGACAGGACGTCAGCAAAGAGAGCGAGAAAGGTCGAGGAAACGAAGTCCCATTTAAAGCATCAGATGAAGAAATAAAGGGGGCAGTAATGATTTGAAATGACGGATAAACAGAAGGAGCAGAGAGGCATAGAAAGGAGGAGATGACAGGAGAGGAGCGGCAGGTGGTGATCTCTGATCCCATTATCCAGGGCTAATCCTGACCAGCAGTGAGCGTGTTTGTATGTGCGCTGGTGTACATAAGTGTGTGTGTGTGCGTGTATTTGTTGTTGGCATGACACCGACACATCAGGTCTGTCAGGAAACCTGCAACAGGATTTGAGGAAAAATAGAGATTAAGCCGTGCTCAAAAGGGGCGACTGGTAATTAGAAAAGTGTGTTCAAGTAGCACACACCGGCAGAAAAGCTGTCGTCAATCCCTCTAATTTTGAACAAATAATACCACCCACAAAAAGAAAATAATTTGTGTGTACATAGAGGCGTTTACTCTGTGATTTACTGCTTTTTCTTTTCCATCTCACACTCACTCACAAAGCGACAGACAGACAGACCCCCTGACAGCTCGCTGGCTGTCACATGAAAGGCTGCGTGTCTCAGCCTGTGACCACGAAATAATAAAACTCAGGAGTGAACTTCTCAGGGTTTGAGAAACAGCAGGTACAGGGTGCAGTGAGGTGAGTCATGAGACTTGGCAGGCCCCTCAGTGTGAGGACCGAGTACCGTCACCTCAAGTACGGCATGCACAGGGTGTATTAATAGTCATCTGGCCCGTGTGTGTGTGGCACAATGTATTTCTGTGACAGCACGTGGAAAGATGGATCTGTCAACAAACTGGTGGGTTTATATGAACAATAATGACAGTGAAACTTAACCTGTACCACGTATGCACCAGACCCCTCTAAATTTGGGGGGTGGGTTGCATCAGCTGTCCCAATTTTTTTCCTGTGACTTGATACAGCCACCCGGGTAAAATTACCACAGGCAGATGTGGGAACACAGCTGGTAAAATTCAGGAAAATTCATCACTAGTTCGTACAAGAGGGTGATGGTAATTTTAATTATGCAACCACCATTGTGGGCGTAATGAAGCTGCTTCATGCTTGAGGCCTGATGGCTGGTATGATTCTATCAATTGTGTGACTGAGCAACTTTGGTTAATAATTTCAGAGGCAGGATGGAATTTACAATAAAGTAAACTTCAAAGAGTAAATGTGTACATATCATGTATATGTAACGTATTGTATCTTATTATAGAGTATTGTATCACACTGTAAAGTATTGTATCGTATTGTAAGTATCGGTAGTATCTGTTATACTATTAGTCATACCTTATCAGTTCATATCACATTATAATGCATCATATATCATACTGTATCATATCATATTGTGTCATATAGTATCCTTTTATATCATATTGTATTGTATCGTATTGTATTGTATCATATAGTGTCATATCAAATTGTATCGTATTGTATCATATCATATTGTATCATATCATATCGCATATTGTATCATATCACTGTATCGTATCATATCTTAAATTGTTTTTTAATTTTGTATTGTATTGTAACAAGTCATATTGTATCATATCATATCATACTGTATTGTACTGTATCGTATTGTATCCTGTTGTATCCTATCACATTGTATCATATTATATTGTCTCGTATTGGTTTGTATCAAATCATATCATTTTGTTAAATATCGTAAAGTATTATACTAGTTTGTATCGCAGTTAAATCTGCTATCTACAGCCCTACTTTAAGCATTAGATTTTTTTCCAAACTTGCCACACTATTGATCTTTTCTTAACCTTAACCAAAGTGAATTATTTCCTGTGGTCAACCCAAGGAGGACCTGACATGGACAGACATGGATATACGACTTTGGCGTGACAATATGCCCCAGACGTTAAACGGGGCAGTTTTGTTACATCCCCAGTTTTGTTTTTGCCTGATTGTGGGTGCTGGTAGATGCCACTTTGTCTTGAAACATGAAAAGTATATTGGATTTTTTTTTTATTTTTTTTAGAAAGACCAAACAGAGATACTGGATTAGAGATTTGGTTGGTTAACAGAATATAGAGCAAAAGAAGCTTAACCAGACGTGCCTCTAGGACTTTCCAATGAGATATAAACTAACAGTATCTCAGAGATTAACTGATTTTAATACTCGTTCATAACCTAAGTCAAAACAAATGTGTGTATTATTGCTTTAATGATCAAATGGGAAGCCTTGTCATCATTGTATTGTTTTGTATGAGGAGGGTTTTATCTTATGCCTCTAATCCCGTCTGGCCTTGACATGTCACATGACCAAGTCGACGGAGGACTGTTCCAGATGTAGATGTGCAGGTCGTTATTATGCTAAGATGTTAAGCCCTGGAAATAAAATGTCTGTCCAAAGACACCGTAATCCTTCCTTTGTTGAAACAATGGGAGGGAAAAATGTGTTATCAACCTCTGATCACTAAAGCAGTGACACATTGATCAGAAAAATCTTTAAAACTCGTAGAAAGAGCTGATAAAAGTCAAGAACCAGCTTGAATTCATTTAAAGTTTACTTGGTGGATTATAAACTTTTAATTTGTCTGAGTAGAAGACAAAGTAGCTGAAGAATCGTTTCGTAATTCTCCATGATCCTGAATCAACAGATCTAGTCCTATGACGTTTTTGTGGCACATTATGAACGTTTGGAAAGCATAAAGTTTCATTTTTAAAGGACAAAAATCAGCATTTTAGTTTGTATGGAGTCTATATTCTTTGAGTTTAAAACCTCAGACAACTAATTCATAGCAGCAGATATTTTAACTCGTGTGGTTTCTACGTTCTTGAGGTTTTGCTGATGTTTCTTTAGTATGACATATAACTGAAGTGGTACATCGTGTTTTGTGGTGAAAGAGAGAGAGAGAGACACCTTCCCCTGGAAATTTAGATTTTCATGTCCGTGTGCTACAATTGAATCTTTGCTTTAAATCGAAGCACTTTTTCAAAAGCTAAATTCGGGAGAACTAAGTCCAGTAATTGGTGCACCCTGGGGTTGCCTTGCAGTTTGCCAACCTAGCATGTAGTGTTCATGCACTCAGGTGCTGATAAGGTAATTTCACGCTCTCCTTAACCGTTTTAACCCTGACATCCCTCCTACCGCTGACTTCAAAGAGGCTAACTTTTCTAATTGAGTGTATCTATTGCAGGATTCATCCCTCTGAAGACGGGTAAGTTGAAAATCATGACTAATAGAAGGGCAGCTCATGGTGGGCTCCAGCGTGGGTTCAGCATGACTCACGTAATTGCACATTAATGACTCGGTCTAATTATGGGAGCTTTAGCTGAGCTGCCTGCCAGACTCAGTGTAGGGTCTACAAATGCAAGCACAGGTTATTTTGTCTCCTGTCTGCAACGATATGACATTTTCATCGTGAGATTTCCTCAGACGCAAACCGAATCTTTTTGAGTGTCACTTTTATTGTCAAACAAAGGTTTAATTCTTGCAGTAAGTAGTACTATGAGGCCCACTAACAAGGAAGTGATGTGCTCCTGTTGAACCTCACCACTAAAGCTCTCACCGTGTCCTGGTTTCAGGGTTAGACGCTCTGACTCCAGCACACTTACCTGTGAGGATTAACCTTGTTGGAAGGGTAACCTGGCAGAGGTTCAGCTGGCAGATGCTAAAGATTAGCCTACTGTGGCTAAAGAGTGGAGTAGTATGGACTGAACAGAACTTGGCGTGCAAACTCGCAGGAAAACAAGGTCTGCTCACCTAATGGTGTCAATACCAGTTTAACTTGGTTTTCGAGTTACAACCAGTGCGAAAAAATCTGGACCTGAAAAAGTTCAAAACTCCTTTTTAACAGAAATGTTTGCAGGTTGCAGCTCTCAGCTTTCCAATAACAAATAAAGTACAAGGAAAAATAGCACGACTCCAGTGTCAACATTAGGATTATGCTGAATTATGAACAATTAGATTGGTTGCACATGCTGCGCCAATTTAGCAAAACAGTAGAAAGGCAGCCTGTCAGAGGGATCAAACAGCAATCACACAGAGAGGAAGCTATTGTAACACACATCAGCATGTGCGTGTCTCTGTTTATGAGTGATGTTTGACGGATAAACACCGCCGCTCTGTGTGTTCGGCTCCTCTGCAGAATGCGTACATGCCGTACATATGCGAGCCAGCTGCTTCAAGCTCCATGAATTCATCCCTTATCAGTTAAACAACATTAAACCACCAAGTGAGCTTAAGAAGAATAAAATAGAGCAGATAATAAATTCTGGATGATATCCTCAAGAGTGTTTTTCATTTCCAGCTTTGATTAGAGTTTAAATGTAAAGACTGCTTTTCAGATTTGACTAAATGAGAGATTTAAGGATGTGATGCCAATCCTTCATGCTGCAGCAAAATCATCAAATCTTGGTTTCTCGGGGATGGTACACGTGACTTTTTAATAAACATAAATGCTCTAGCCTCTGGCTCTTATTTTGAAATGCAGGGGTGAAATTCTTATTCATGCTCCATCCTATGTAAATAATTGAATTCTGGCAACCAAAATAGGCCCAGCGCTCAAACCACAGCTCGGCAGCGTTTTCAATCTTTAATGACCAAGTGGAAAAAAAAAAAAGAAAGAGAGAGAGAGAGAAATACACTGGGACTCTAAAAGAGCGCCAAATTAACAAGACACAAAACACACTTTCAACCGAGAGAACACACAATTAGTCAGAGCCCAAATCTTCCACATCCTTTTGGAGGCAGGACAGAGATCACTAACAAAACTACTGCAGCTAAAAATGGCTTTGAAAGCGTCTGCCAAACCTCTGCTCTGAAACACACTGCTTTTCTCCACTTCTTTCCCGCTGCTGTAATTCTGGAAGAATGTGAGTCTGGCTTTCCTAAAAGGTCCAGAAACAACACAAGAGGCTGTGTTGGCGCTGTGTTAACTGGCGCTCCTCCCTGAGCTCCAGGTTTAACTTCACCACCTCTTTACTGAGGGTTCTGCCAATTCTAGGGTCTCAAAGGGGAGTCATGATTATACTGTATGTAGGAAAAGACTAACTCCATTTAACCCCTGAAACCCCATATACTTTTTTAACTTTCTCTAAGTTATCTGGGATTTTGTAGAGCAAGATTAACACGAAGCGTTATCTTTGATCAGGGAGTACACTCAGAAAAAAAGTCTGTCTGATCAACACATGGAAAATGTTTCCGTCTCTGCTGTGTACCAAATTCTCCAGCTAGTCATTTCATTTCAAACATACTGAGTACTAAATTCACCAAATTTTATTCCTTTTCCTGACCATAAAGCTCACCCCGTGACATCCAGTGACTTTTCCGCTCTTCACAGAGAAAAATGATTCAGACTCAACTTGGCTCCAAACTCAATCTTGAACTATCAGCACAAAATGCTTAATTGTCCGTTTACTTTCATGTCGATGGCTTCGCCCAATATCTTCCCAAGCTATCCTTGCTTAATTTTACAATTTCCCTTCAATATAAGGAATCCATGCTCAACATAGTTGGAGTATTTAAACTATCAACTATTATAGGTTCAATACCAATACATATCGATTATCAGATGTAAACTGTTACCAACCAGGAGATTGGTATTCTTATTTTTTATGTTCATATGTTCACTGTAGAATAGTTTTGGAGAAATGGCCGCTATATTGTCATTGTGTTAAGTTTATATTGCTTTTGCTACTAGATGACTGCAATAAAAATCCATCTATGACTGGGGGAACAAGTCTAAGGTCCAAATAATAAAGTTCAGTTGTTAAACCTCAGTCTTAAAAGTTGCAGCTTTGGGTTTTGATTCCTACCCTGGGCTTTTTGCTGCGTGTCTGACCCATTTCTTCGCCAATGCTTTGTGTCCCCTCATTGCACAAGTTGCACAAGTATTTGCAATAAGAGCATTCACGAAAAAGACACCCTAGAAGTTTGAGTTTACTGAAATACATCGCAAATACTGTTTTATGGAGGCAAGAAGTGCATTACATGCAAAGAGGTCTGGGTATAATGGCCATGGTTAGGTGTTGCAAAGCACACACATAAGACATAATCTTATATGACTAGTAAAAAATGTATATGTGATGCTTTAATTTTGCCTTTTTACTGCCTTACAGCAGGGTCACTTTATCTCCTGTTTTATAACGAACATGCTTTTATTTTGAAAGGATGCAGAAGGTACTTCTTACAGAGCAGGTGAAGAGATAATATTTTAATTTCCTATCAGTAGCATATAGACACTGAGACTGTTAGTAAGCACTCTTCAGTATCAGCTTTAATCCTTCTTCTCTGCATTATCTCAACATTAACCAATGGTGTTTCATACTGTAGGCCTGTATGTCCTGATGGCCTCCAAAAAAATATTTTGTAGAAACTTTTAAAATACACAAAGAGTATATGAAACAGCAAGCTTGAATGAACGGCACTGCATGTGAAAAGTAAAAACAGACCTGCTGTGAATGCCGAGGGGACAGAGTTTGCGGCGGAGCATCCCACACGAAAGAAGAGCTAATATCAAAAACCCACCAGGCAGCAGATGTGTTCAGCTGCTTCGGCTCTGCAGGTCTAGCAAAACTTGTCATGAGCCCCCTGCGGTCACAGAGTCGCACATAGCGGAGTGAAACCACAATAAACAAAAAGAAGAGGCTGCGACAGAACGCAATCATCTTCAAAAAGACGCCTTCAATCGACTCCTCAGAGCTCTGTGATGAAGCGCTGAATGTGTAGGCAGCGCTGTCTGCCACAATGTCACTCCACACAGACTACAAAAGAGACGTCTTAAAAGCATCATGAGCTGAAAGAACCACAGTAACAGACCTTGAACATTTAGAAAGTCATGTATCGCTCTCTTCATAAACTCTAGTCTTGGTTTGTAAGAGAGACCTTTTTATCTCGTTGGCAGTGACACTATGAGGATCAGAGCATCCTGACCTTTAGTTGAAAAGAGTATTCCGGCTACTTATTTTTCCATTCCAGCAACGTTGATAAGACTCATTAGACAAAGATTCAGTGAGAACAAGTTAAGGTCAAGTAGAAGCAGCTGACGAGGTGATTTACTTTAAGAGCAGTTCTGAATACAACTATAATAATAATAATGTGAAAAATAGGTGGAATTTCCCTTTAAGTTAAGCAAAATCCAACATTATGACAAGTAGGGTTGTAAAGTCCAAGTCGACTGGTCAGCTTATGGTCGATACGTGCTGAGTTCTGACTGGTCAACTTGATTTTTTTCAGCATCAATTTAGAGTTTATGGTTAATTTCATCAGGAGGACTGTACCAAGTGCTAATGGGGGTGTTTTCAGAGCACCCCTGTTTCACAGGTAACAGCCTGTTTTGGAACACCCCCCTTGTTTTCACCATTTTGGATTCACCCAACTCATTGGAGACTGGCTGGAGACAAGAAGATTGAAGAGCATCCATGTTAATGATCAATGTCCGGTGGTTTACTGAATATTTATATATTATATTTTGTGTTTAATCGCCTTCTTGTGCTGATATCAGTATATTTTCACCCCACTAAGCCACGTCGCCCCCCGCCACTGAGGGTTTGCCATCAGAGTCGGAAAAATCCCCCGATTACTCGATTTTTGGTCAAATTTCTTTGGTTGATTACAGCCCTTGTGACAAGATTATCCGATGTGTAGTCAAGTGGCGTAGCAGGATACAGATGCGCCCCACATATGAGGTTGTGGTCCCACATGATCGCGAATTATCATCATAAGGCAAGCTACTTCTCGTGCCCTAATGTGCTGGTACACCAAATTAATATGAGAACGAACTGCTCACTTAACTGTGCACTCTTTTCCCCCAAACTTTAAATAAAGGTTCAAATTTTGAATAAAAAGTGCCATGCCTGGCTCTCACCTTCCGTTTCTTACTCTGTCCACTGTCCTGCAGCCTGAATATAGCGGTGAGATTCAGGTTTTAACACAGCTAGCAGAAAGCACAACTAGTGGGAGCAAAGTCCCTGGGCAAACTTGACTTTGAGGAAATGTAACAAAAACAGAAACTGTAGCTCCTCTCATGATCCTTTAATATTGCTGAAAAGGTTAATGAAGCAGCACGACTGAATTTAGAAGACAAACACTTAACTTCACCAAAATGTTATAAGGCTATGAAGCTTAAGCTGCTTAGAGCTGATTGAAGTCGCCTGCTTCTCTTTGCGTCTGCTGTTAAATTCAGACGTTAAAGCCTCCAAAATTGTCTCTGTTGGGCCTCACAGAGGGATATCCTGCTGAGTCTGGAGGGTAGCGGTCATGCAGCCATTCCTCTCAACCACCCAATCACTTGATTAAACAAATTATCATCATCAAAGTAATCAAGCTTTGCACCCCACCGGCTCAGCTCCCATTACACCGTGAAAACCGATTTGAGCGTGGCATAAAAACCATACAGATTAAACGTGAAGCCTCGACCTTGGTTGATGTCACTGTCGAGAGGGTTTTTTTAAGGGAAGTGAAAATAAGATATTGAACATTCAAATGCAGCTTTATTTGAGACGAGTTGTGTCTTTTATTTTTAGGAATATTCAGTTTAGTTTCTGCTCACGACCTAAAAACAGCCGGGCATGCTAAATCAGCCTTCCAGTAAAAGGAGTCCAGGGGTTAAGCATGTACCTGACTGCGGACATGACACACTCTGACTGGCAGCCTCCGTTTGTTTAGAGACCTCAGCCTGAAATTTTCCACCCATCAACAGGCCTGTGTGGTCGGCCAGCGAGCGTGTCAGCGGTATTTGCATTTAAAATCAAAATGGATTCCATCTGACACGGTTTTTTTCTCTGGTTTAAAGCCTCTCCGGGCTGAATAATAAACCCAATCCCTGGGCGTAATGGAGCAGTGACTGAATGCGGCGCGGTGCTCTGCTAAAAAGGGTTTTACAGTCAGCGCTGAGATCACAGATGGCTGTTAACAGAGTGCATTAGTAAAGATTAACTCGCCTGGTAGAATCGCCACATTAGTGCCTCTGATCATGTTAACAACCACAGCAGAGAGGTGGTGTGCGGCATGATAAGCCCTGCAATTTGACCTGAGGATGCGCGCTTAACCGTGCGCGTCAAACTCGCATTCAGAAATTGATCACTGCTGAGAACAAATACGATATTAAAAATGTCAAACAATAAAGATCCTGAATGAGTCCAGCGGCTGAAAAGAAGCCCACTCTGCAGGAAAATACTTCCCCTTTGAGGAGAGAATCATAAAGTTTCATTCGATTAAATGAGGCACTCATGGACTCTCAGCAGAAATGCCTTACAGTTTATGGCTTTCACTTGTAGAACGAAAGGATTTGCTGCTTTTAGGTCTGTTATATAAAAGAAAACCGAATATTTTGGGGTCTTGAAATGTCGGTTACGCAAGACAGACTTCAGACGGCCTTTTTAGAGCACAAATAATGTTTATTTTCTAATAGGGAATAAAAAGATGAACACTGAAAGTCATTTACAGATCAATTTACGATAAAAATAACAGCTGATTCCAATCTGTCTGCCTTCAAATGAGACCATGACTTGAACAGATAAGAAAAAGTCACTCAGTCTTTCTTTTGCAAACAAACAAATACAAATAAACCGTAAAACAACCAAGTCCAGAATACTGAGCGGTTTCGCTGCCACAGCCTTAGTTGGTTGTGTGTGACCACTAGCTTATGGTGTCTAATGTTAGCTAATGGACTCCTCACAGTGGGAGATTAACTCTTATCACTGTAACACAGGCAAAAGATGCTTCTGTGATACAAACTCAGCAGTTTCAAATAACACATCACCAACTGTGCAGGAGCAGTCAAGAGTAGAGCACTGAGAAACTCTGCTCACTGTTAACTTTCAGCCCAATTACTGAAAATTTGTGGGGGTGGGAAAGACCCAACAAAGTCAGTGTGAAAAAGCTGGTTCTTTGTCTTCACTCTTTGTGTGAAACTCTTGATGACTCATGATGACACTTCATTCGGGGTAGCAAAGGGAAACCTGATCACACAGTCTTGTCAAATCAATCTTTTTAAAGTGGTCCTGCATATTTGGCCTTAGTCTAGGGCTTGGCATTATGGCCTCAAATCAATATCACAATATATTGAGCAGTCAATATATACCTCAATAACGATAAATGGACGATAACTACTCCACAAGCTGCTCAACCCCTCCCACATTAACTTCGTCTACTTCAGCTGCTACAACCTTTGAACTGTCCTCCATCTCCTCACCTGTCTTTCCCTGTCTCTAACGTAGGACAGCGTCTTAAAGGGACATGAGAGCTTAGCCTACCTACACACATCCAAAACCAACTTTTATTTATTTATTTTCTTGACACCGATTATACCAATTTTGGCAAAATGACGTCGGTATTGTCGTCAATTTCGGTATCGATAAATTTTCCGATTACAAACCCAGCCTGTTGACAATGTAGCAAAAACTTTGGCTCAGATTAAGCCTTTAAAACGCAGAGGGTATTTTCTAATACTTGATCCTGTCCTGCAATCCAGGCAACGGCACAGAGTTTGTGAGTGCATCACAAAGTTGTGTATCACTCTAAATCAGTGTTTTATGTCAACTTATTCATAGATTTAGTTGTAGGCTAGAAAATGGTGCAAAAGGCCTTCATTTTGAGCCACATTAAACCCCACTCCAAGTTTGCCCCTCTCTCAGATCTCTCCCTTCATACATTTGCCCCTTTTTTCACCACCATTAGCTCACTCAGTCTTACAGCGTGAGTCACCGTCTGGACACATTTGCTGATGTGGTCACAGTTAAAACTTTCAAACATCAGATGTCTGCCACAACTGTACACAGACACATCTGGATACAGATCGAGGGGTCTGGACATCACACAGTCAAAATACGGATGTGAAGCAAACCTCGGAAATGTCAGCACTCGCTTTTGAAATCAGAGCTGGATTAAAAAACGTGGATATGAAACTGAAGACTGAATTGTTTGTTATTAGAAATGTGTAGTGCTGGAAACGGATGCGCTTTTTCTCAGCGAGAGACGGGGGGGAAAAAAACGGCTCATATTAAATTACAGGTTATGCGCTCATGAGGAAATTATTAAAAGCTGGAGGCATTCAGGGTCTGCAGAGACTTCCCACGTGGAGACAGACGTGAAAACACATCCACTTCCTGTTTTCCTGCGATTCACGAAAACATCTCGGTCATGAATATTCATCAGTGTTTAATTGGAGCTTTTAAAGGATCTGCTTCCCACTAAAATGAAATGAGTTTACACAGCAGCATTCACTTAGAAAAAGAAGTGTAATGTGCTTTGATGGGAGTTCACTAATGATTCCCCCCACTCCAGCTCAAAGTTTTCTCAGGAAAAAACAGCTCCAAATGAAGTGGAGTATAATTTGCGGTTGGTGTTACACCCTGCGTAGAGAGCGTGATCTACACACTTAAGCTCATTCATTGCTGTTTTGACTCGAGATGTGGGAATAATGAGAACACCAGACATTAGAAGTACATATTTTTCTACTTGGAAGACCGCCAGTGCACATATCAATTTGGCGCCTTTTAGAGACGATAAAGTGTGCTCGTAAATATGAGTGAGCGCAGATGTGTTAAATGCGGCGTGCTGTTTTCCACAGCAATCTTGGGAGCCGGGAGGAAGAAAAAAAAACAGATGACATCATGCCTTTCCAAATATCTGCCATTTTTTCTCTGGAAGGTGCACAGATGGAATACATTTGGCTCTTAGATCACTGTCAACACAGCGCCGCGATGTCAACCGCGACAGTTTCACAGGCAGTGTTTGATTTCACTTCATCCTTTAACAAGCAGACCAACAAAACCTGAACTGACCACAACCTGAGCTGATGACACTTAATACAGCTTAAAAGGACACACAGCGGAGAGGCAAGACGTCTAATGTCAGAATTTCACCCAAACTTCAGACACTTGTGATTCAGATTAGTTGGATTTTTTTCTTCTTCTCCCTTCGTTTCCTTCCTGATCCCAGGACTGATTCAGTAAGCTGGTTTTTACTCATTTATAGATCGGCTATTCTTTGGAACAGAGCAGAGGATTGATTTCCCCTTTTTCTCTTTTTCAAATGGAGATTTAAGAATTTACGGGATTTGGATCAAAGATTGGCATGTTTCTAAGAACAGATTATTTCAAAGCTTTATCTGAGGCACTTCCATTTGAAAAATTGGTATCAGATCAACTCTGTTTTTCCCGTGCCTTGATATCTCCACAAAGACTGGAGTTGGACCAAAAACTGCAATTATGATATGTATTTAAAGACGTGCTATTATGCTTTTTCCAAATTATGAAAACAAATGTTGGATAGCGGTACTATATATGAGCAGAGTTTCAGATTGGAAGATTATTGTGTGTTGAAGTAATCCCCAGATGGGACTACAGGCTGCTCTGAATGACTTGTTCACATGAGAATTCAGTGATTTGCTCAAATCGTGACTTCACCAGACAGTGGAACTCCTTAAAAGGGCAAATTTGTCGCTTTTGAAAGAGAAACACAACTTTGTTGCATGGCAGCAATGAAGGAGGCTTCTAGAATGCTTGGTTTCAGAATGCTGGGTTTTAGACTGATGGCTTCTAGGAAGTAGGGCTCGAGAATGCTGGGTTTTAAAGTGCTGGGTTCTAAGATGTCAGGCTCTAGAATGCTAAGATTTAGTATGCTGGTTTCTAACATTATGGGCCCTTGAATGCTAGGTTTTAGAATTCTGGTTTCTAAGATGTCAGGCTCTGGAATGCTGGGTTTTAGGATGTCAGGCTTTAGAATTCTGAGTTTCAGACTGATGGCCTCTAGGATGTAGGGCTCTAGAATGCTGGGTTTTAGAATGCTGGGTTCTAAGATGTCAGGCTCTAGAATGCTAAGATTTAGTATGCTGGTTTCGAAGATGTCGGGCTCTAGAATGCTGGGTTTTAGGATGTCGGGCTCTAGAATGCTGGGTTTTAGGATGTCGGGCTTTAGAATTCTGGGCTTTTGAATGCTAGGTTCTAAAGTTCTGGACACCAGAATGCTGGGCTCTAGAATGCTGGGGAAGCTCTTAAAGGGACAGTGACTACAATGAAGCCTCTCAAAACATAGGCTGAAATTAGTGTTTTCGAAGACAACAGCCTGAAATATGTTTTGATCCGTTCGACTGTAAATGAAGCCATCATAAACTTACGCCAAACCATCATGGAGGTTTGTTGCTTCACCATTAATGTGGAAATCAAAATTGGGCACATTGTGGGCAGGCTTACCAAGAAATCATCTATTAATAAGTTGATAATGTCAGTTATCATTAGCTGCGAGGCTACTTCAGGTAACAAGTCTGGAAGGGAAAAATAATCCTGTGAAGTTTTCCATATCAGCTAGGTAATACCATTGTCAAGAGCTATTTTTAGAACATTAAGTGAGCGCTCACAAGCTATTCTCCTAAGGAACTCTTCAAGGAATGGCTTCATTTATCTTCTTTGTTCAATCGAAGATAAAAAGTCAGCGAATTATCATAATTCTCAGTTTTCTGTGGCATTCATGTCTGCATATGTATTCTCACAGTCCCAAAATAAACAGCTGGCACAGTGTATTTCTGCAAAATTTCACAGTGAAGGGCATGGATGGGTTCCTTAAAGTCTCACAGACTGTCACAGAAGCACACCAGTCCAGTAGTCACACACTATTAGAGGCACTGCATTTACCACATGGGTTGGATTCTGTCATTTCACCCCCTGCAGAGTTAGACACTTTTCACACCTTACACCACAAAGCTCCAGACAGGTCCTGTCTGACTTGTGAAGAAAACCTGAACACCAGAGGAGAGGCACACTCTCCCCCCACTTTTCCTTCTTCTTTTTCTTTTCTGGAGGGCCGTAAAAAAGGGGGTGAAAGAGGAAGAAAACAGACATCCTCACATAGGGTTTTCCCCCATTTCTCTTTGTCACAACCACAATCCCCTCCACCACAGTGCTGCCAGGGAAGTTTCCATTTGCTAAGCTAATTAAATTGAAGAAAAAAAAAAGAGGAAGAAAGTGGTGCTAAGAGAGGAAAAAAAGGAGAAAAGTGATGTTCCAAGTCTAGGATATCTAAATATTTTCACCCAGACTGCCACAGGCACATGCAGAGGTTTTCTGGTGTCCACTGTTGCAGCTTTCTGCAAGCAAAGGCGACTGCGGCCCAACACAAACCAGCGCTGCTGTCGCCACAGCTCCCTAATGTGTTTTCCCTCTGCCTCAGTGGCTGGGCCGGCAGAGTATTTTAAAACACATGGCTATAAAGACACACACACACATACACATACACAACACGCAGGGACATAAAAAGGCACACACCAGCATACGCAAACACGTGCACAGTCAACAAACTCTGACTATTTGAGAGTCTTTACTAGTATACCCAAGTTCCTGCCAAAATAAGAGCCTCTTTCTCTTTTGACTTGTCAACAGGAGAGGAAGGTGGAGGAGGAGGAAAGAGGGAGGCCTTTCAGACGCACATACGCTCTGCAGATGTTAGCTTATCCTCCAAAAACTAAAGGGAAAGGAGAGAGGGGAAAATGTGTAAACTATGTAAGAGAATCAGGAAAAAAGAAAAGAAGGTTTACAATCTAGAAATAAAAACAAAAGAGTGAAGGAAAACCTAAAAAAGAGGAACATTGTGTGCATAAAAGGAAACAAAAGAAAGGGGGCGTAGTCTACAAGTATAGAAAAGAGGGGGTGTAGTTTGGTAGAGTGACAGAAAATGAAAAATAAAGGAGTGAATTCTGTATTTATGAAAAGGAAAAAAGGAATGCCCATCATGAAGACGTTAGGAAGGGAGGAAGGACAGAAAGAAGGAAGTAAGTAGAGTGGGAAGCAGGAAAGATAGGAAGGAAAAAAAGGAAGGAAAAGAGGAGGTAGCAAGAAAGAAAGGATAGTAGGAAGGTATAGAGAAGATAGAAAGAAAGGGTGTCGTTTGGTGGAGTTACAGAAAATGATACTTAAAGGAGTGAATTCTGTATTTATGAAAAAGAGAGGGTGGAGGAAGAACTGCATTTCTGTAAAAAAAGAAAAAAGTAATGCCCATCATGAGGATGGAAGGAGGGGAGGAAGGAAAGAAGGAAGGAAGGAAGAAGAGTGGGAAGCGGGAAAGGTAGGAAGAAGGATAAGGAAGGTAGCAAGATAAAAAGGAAGGAAGAAAGAAAGAAAGAAAATTAGGAAGGTAGAAGGAAGCTAGAAAAGAGGGTAGGAAGGAAGGAAGGAAGAAAGGAGGGAAGAAAGAAAGTACTGAAGGAAGAGAGGGGAATGAAGGAAGGACATGAGAAAGGAAGAAATTAAGAAAGGTAGAAAGGAAGGAAGGAAGGAAGGAAGAAAGAAAGAAAGAAAGTACTAAAGGAAGAGAGAGGAATGAAGGAAGGACATGAGGAAGGAAGGAAAATGAGGGGAAGTTAGGAAGTAGGAAGAAAGAGAGAAAAAAGAAAAAGCAAAGAAGTTGAATAAATCAAAAAGAAATGAAGAATGAAGTGATGCATACTGTGATAAGAAAAGAGCATTTCTACTGAGGAAAGAAGGAGGATGTATTTTTTTGTGGAGAGAGCCTGAAAAATGATCTTGTTTCCCCTCATTCCTTCCAGCTGCTTGACTTGGAAATATAATGTCAGTGTTGTAACATCAGGCTGCCTCTTGACCACTGATGCTGACAGAGAGACGCAGAGAGGAAAAAAGCTACGTGGGGGAGGCATGAGAGACCATGTGTGCGATGTGTGTTTATCTACTTGTGCGTGTGTGCCTGCTCAGTGACAAAACAGGAGTTCATGCGTGGACACAGATGGATTCAGCGAGAAAAAAAAAAAAAAAGAAAGAGAGGAGAAGGAGGGGTTGGTGGTGCTTTCAGTGGTCCGGCAGCCCCTGCCTCCTGCCTGCTGTAGAGTCCATTAGTGATTGCATAATGCTTGGCAGACAGGGACCTACACAGTGAATGCAACCCCCTGAAGGGTCGGACACCAGCGAGGGAGGCAGGGAAGAAAACTGGCTGTTCCCATGTGTGTCAGTGTGGGATTTATAAGAGAAATAAAAGGACAGCAGAGGAGTTTTCAGAGGGCTGCATGCATGCAGGGGGGAGCTGCTTGTGTTCAGTTTGAGGAATTCTAGGTTAATGCAAAATAAAAGAGCATCATTAAAAATACAGGAGAAGCTGCAGTCACAGCTCAGCATCTGGCCTCTGTTTCTGTGTGGCACTACATCCTTTCATTCCTCTCCTTATCCTTTTAAAACTCTAACACGCTTTATTTTGACACTTTTGTACTTGCAAATTCTTACTTCCTCCTTAAAACATTAGGAAATGTTTTGTCCGGCGACTGCAGATGCGCTCTTTACTTATTCATAACGGTGTTCATTGGATATTTAGTGCCTCAGATGAGGCATATTGCTTTTATCACGGGAGGATTGAAAGAATTTTTCCATGTACACACACCTCATTCGGGTTCTGAAAGCGTTGTGCTGTGCAACAAAACAAGCGAGGCGTCACATTCAGTTCAGTAGCCTTGGAGAGGGTGTCAGGAGAATAACAAAAACATAAAGAGCAGGTGGAAATAACAGGCTTTTAGGATTCGTAGGCCCTTCAAATAAAAGGAAATAGCAGAGTGGTTCCTTGCTGCATGCATGTCTTTGTATTTATCCCGGTGTATTTCTCTGGAAATATGAACTTGACAGCCTCAAGTTGAGAGGAAGGTCAGCGTCTGCGTCTTAGCTGTTCATTTTATTACCGACAAAATCAGCAGATACCAAACTGGCATTCAAGCCAGAAAATGAAACTGGAAGACCGCTGTGGGACTAAGATAATACATCCTTCACAATGCACAGCCTGCACCTTTCGCCCTCCCTCGAAAAACCATCAAAGGCTTCAACTCAAAGTCTCGTATTTTGTGCCTTGGCCTTTTCACCCTAAAAATGATACAAGGAGGGATTTATCAGGCTTAACTTCTCTTTTCTTTGAGCTATTTCAGAGTACTTTATTACAGCAATTCGACCTCACTTGCCCTTTTTGAATAAAAGACTGAAGCTTTCACCTTGAGACAGCTTCGTGAATGGAGTCAGTCAATCACATAGAAAGTACACAAGAAAATGTTCTTGTGTCACCTCAAAATTACAGAGCTGTAACTAAAAATATGTCCATTTAACTGGAATTAGCTGCTCAATAAAAAGCCTCAACACGGTTCAATCCTTAATTTTTAGGGTTAGCATTGTACCAAAGTCCTGTACGATCCTGCATGTGTTTCTTTAACATCAGCAAATCAGCCACACCCCTTTTAAATACCAAACTCTAAGCTGTAATAAAATCAAAACAGACAATTGATACAAAATTAATCCCATGTTCAGTTTTTAGGAAAAAACAAAACCAAGTAATAAGAGATCAAAACCATTTTTATATCAAGCTGTCATCATGGTAAATTTAGCTGTAAAAACTGGCATTTTAATATGGGTTTAATGGGGTTCCTTTGGCTTTTGGAGCCAGTCTCTAGTGGACATTTAAGGAACTGCACTTTAGGTAATTCTGCACTGGCCTCCTTTTTCAGCCAAGCAGGTCTTTAAAAATGGTGCCAATGTGATGTGAGAGTTTGTGTTGGGTGTGAATAAACCAATCTCAGAAGATGAATGCGCGACTGAACGAGGCTTTGACGTGTACAGTTTTTTACAGGACTAACATACTACCAGTTTTACATGGAGGGTAGAGGATTCCAGTCTGGACCCCAAACCGCTGCTTCTCGATGTTTCAAAGGTGACCTGTTATTTTTAAACCTGAAGACACTCAAAATCTCATTAAGCTTTCTGTCTATTTTAAGTCACCTCTTCATCATTTTTAATCGTATTGTTCTTTTTAAGAACCATTTCAAGAGTTAGTGAGCTCAAGTTTATGGCAACTCAGCAGGCAGCCCTCTAGCCCCTCTGAATAGCTGCAAAAGAAGCTTTGCCAAACAAGTGCTTCTGTGTTTCTTCTAGTTTTAAGTATCTCAAGCGACGCCTGTCACTTAAGTTAAAAAAAGAGCTTTTTAGAGGATAAAGCTGAAATCACCTAGGCGGGTAGCTGCTGCTTAAGTAGCGGCAGCTCAGTTCGCAGCCCCTTTAAGTCCAGTCCAGGACATCATCACAGATACAGTCTACAGGTTCATAACCTAGATCTGCTTTAAGTTTTCTAGTTTTAATCCTCCAGTTTGTTAGATTTATGGTAGAAGAGGCTTCTGCAGATAATTTGTCTTCCTATAAAAGTACTAAAAGGTCCTTTTAAAACTCCTTCTGTTAAGGTCATCATCTGCCCTCTGCTTCACCTGGTCTGCTGTGAGTACACTTCTGCTGCTATAAAAAGGTTGTGCAGAGATATTCAACCAAAAGAGTGTGACTCAACTCTTGGTCCTCTTGACTGATGGTTTGAATTCAAGACTTCTAAGGGTCAGCCCTACGAGATCCATTTAACTTGGAAAGAGACATTCTGTCCAATTTCCTTCTTTCTCTCTCTCTCTTCTGCCACGCTCCACTTTTCCTCCATCGCCCTTGAAGGTCTGCATCAGAGCACTCAGGAGCCCCTCCGTAAATCACAGACGCACAGGGAGGCGAACGACACCCACTCTTCCCACCAAAACATGACACAAATTACAGACCACAACATCTGGTGAGTGGCCTGCACCGAAACACGGGAGGGCGGGATGAGTGTACACAAACTCCCCCTCCTCGTTCACAAAAGTTCCTGGGAGCGGAAGAGTGGAGAAACGTGACAAAAGATGTTGATCTACATGTTGAGCTCATCGAACGATTGATATGATAAAAAAAACACGCAACCAAAGTGTGTGTCTCCCTGGAGGCGTGGACATGTGCAGAGACCTCACATGTTGCATATCTGCCTGAGCGTTGCCAACTGAGTACGTTGGTGAGTAGACAAGCCAGCTTGAAACAGAAATAAGCACGGCAAAAAACTGCCTTTTTAACGATGGAATATGCCCTGGTGACCTCAAGGAAGAGAAAATCAGTGATGAAATAATTACTTTTCGAGAGCCGGGAGCTGTGGGATTCATCTGAAAGTCTACTCAAAAGCTGCCAAGAGTTAAACTGTGTCTCTGTGATGGGGTGATTAAAACTCAGACAGATGCGCCTGCAGCAGGTTCGCATCCACTTGTCAACACCAGCGCCAATATTGAGAATCAATGTCACGTGTCAACTTCCAGCGAGACCTTCAGAGGATACAAACAAAGCGGAGGCAAGTATTGATTAAGTTCGAATGCGTTTGTCCATGTGTGGGATTTGTTGGTGGAAATTCATGAAGTTGACGCATGACATCCCTGCCAAGTTCTTGTAATGGATTACCTCAGATTTTGCCAAAATAAAGTGGATTATTTGAAGTCACTGCCTTTGTGATTTTTGTGCCAAGAAAGTGCCTCAACTTCTGGTATTTTGGTGTAACTCTTCTACAGCCCTGGTGTGAAACAAACGATAACACAAAACATGCAAAAAACTGTACTCCCAGGGCTGACCTCATGCAAAACAATGAGTCATTAAAACAACAGTGTCTGAATCAGCTAATTGGACAAGCGGTTCCAACAGAGGAGGAGGCACAGCGCCAAGCGACAAGTCACAACCCACAGAGAAACAACGGGAGGGGACAATAATGACAGGGGCAGCACATGAAAGTGCCAAAATCTGTCATTCCCACAACCCGGCCAATTTGTGAGGCGATGCACACTCAGCTAGAAGCCTTGACACTGAAACCAGATCAAGGAAACAACAGGGACTGGGGGAAAAAAGCATTAAAAGGAGACAAAGGATAAAAATAAAACCCAAAAAGAAGTTTAAACCCGCCTGAATGCCACATCCACTCGATGATTGCCACCGACACGACAAAGAAAACAAAGATTTATCTGTCTGCTGAGCTGCATGATTCCAATAAGGATGACATTTACTCAATAGTGTGTCTCTTCCACTGAGTGTCGACCTGCACAGCTGTCACAAGAATCAACATCAAGGCGACGAATCACAATAATACAGATTTAGGACTGCTTTTGAGGCTGTGGAGTGAACTCATCTGTCATTTCAGGGGTTGTTGAATCTCTACTGTTCACATTTAGGGTGATATCTCTGAGATTTTCCCTCAGCAGGGTGAAGAAGGTCCCTTTAGAGGTTAAATGTAAAGAAAATATGGATCTTTGCTCAATTCTCATGACAGAAAGTTGTTAAAACTGAGTTTAAGAGCTATTTGCAAACAGCTAAAGGAGTTATTTGACTTGTGCTGACATTATATGAGCTAGTCATGCCAATCTTGGTGGATTTTTATGATATAGATTGAAATGCTATAGGCTAAGACTCGTGCAAAGTGGCAGCTATGGGCCTGTCATGTACCTGGACGAACAGTCACCGCTCGGTTTGAGGGTTTTAATGTTTCTTCTGTTGGTACAAAATGTCATGGACGTGGTGGACCATACGTGGACCTAACTTCTTCTCCCCCCACAGCGTCTAAGTTTTGCTTTCCCCCAGAAAACTTACCCTTTCCCCGGAGAGGAAGACGGTCAGCGCGAGGGTCAAGATTATCCAAACGTTCCTCATTATTCCTCTTTATCAACCCAGAAAGAAAAAACGCGTTGTAACGAGCGAAATGACTATTTTTTCCCACTCGTCTTCTTCTTCGTCCTCGTCTTTCTCCTTTCCTTTGCACCCTTCGCTCACAAACTCCTGCCGCTTCTCTCTCTCACAGGAGTGGGATCCCACCGGATACGTGTTGCGTTTTGGTAATTCCTCCCCCCTTCTCTCTCTCTCTCTCTCACTCTCTTTCTCTCTCTCTCTCTCTCTCTCTCTTTCTCTCTAGGCACTTTTTTTCTCTCTCCTCTCTGTGTAAATCGGTCAAACTACATAAAAATACGCGCGTTTTGATTTGCAAAGTCGACAGGAGACACCTATCTCGCGCTCCTCTCTCCTCTCTCCCTCACGCGCTCGCTGGAAATAACGAGGACAAAAGTGAGGCACGAGCACGACTCACGCTCTGCTGAGTGCGTGCGCTCCTTTTCGGCCATGTCACCGCGAGACGGAGGGAGAACTTGCGCCGAACTATCCGAAAAAAAAAGCCAATTACGGCGCAGCAATCACCGCTGCGTCGTTTATTGAGGCGCAATAACTCATTGATTATTGTATTTTTCCACTGGAGGGGGGAGATGGGATAACAAGCTGCAGTAGGAAACGCCTCGCAGCTAATTGAGCCATTTATCTCCACGTCGAGATAATGATCATTAATTGCGCCCTAATGAGGATTTCACGATTTAATTCAATCACTGCACTAAATTACAAAATTACAACTAACTCTCGTGTTTACCATGCGCCATTATTACGAACATCGCCGTGGATTAGCAGTTTGATGCTGTTTTCATTTGAGTAGAAGTAAAATGAAAACTAATCACCTCGTTTTACATCCGAATTAAAGACACATAATAGCTACTGTTGGAAAGACATCACGCATTAGAGATGGAATAAAACACTGAAAGGTGTTACATCAGTTTTATGAATAGGAAGCCCCGGGTCCCATTATGATTTAACTTTTATGGGCAAAGTCTCCCCCTGGTGGTAGAAAGCTTTAACTACAAGCGTAATCAGCTAAATAAATCTCATTTTTTGTTAGATTTACATGTTGCAAGTCTTTGCACTGTTTGTTTAAGTAGGAGATTTTAGTTACTAAGTTGCTAATAAATAAATAAAAAACCCAAAAGAGAAGAAAAAAGAAAAATGTTATGTAGTTTTATAACTTTGAGAAAATGCTCAGTGTTGTTGTACAGTGAGAAGGGATATTTTTTAGTTATTAGCTAATAAAGAAAAAAGTTATAAAATGTTCTGCCCTTTATCTGTTGTGTTTTACAAATTAGTTTAAGAACTTGTGATGCTTGGTGATTTCTTTTCATATGACTACTGTTCAGTTTTGTACATATTGATTTCCTTTAGGTTGAAATGTATTTGAGAATTAGGACATCCAGTTAAGATAAATTTTATGTTGTTGGTTGTTAAAATCTAAGATGACAGATATTTTATTTTACTTTCAGGGGGTTTGCGTGGCTCAGTGACCCTACGAGCTATACCAGCAGGAGCTTCAGGTGGGACACCCAAGTTGGACAGGTCTTAGGGTAGAGGCCTGACAGAGTGCAATCCACTTGAGATGGACACACAGCTAACAACCCATGCTGTGAAGAAAACACTAACAGTGTTAAAAACATGATAAAAAAATAAAAATAAATAAAAAAGCCGTCCTCATATTTCTGACTGCCCCCTCATATGTGCATTCCTAGAACCGGCCCTGGCTGAAAGTACTTGTACCCCCATAGGCTGTATCAAGTGTCAATCATAGAAAACATGAAAAAATGAAGCTGTACAGAAAAAAGAGGACTTGAGTACAAACCAGTCTGACAGTAACTACATGCCAACACTGAGTCCAAAGCTCCATAAGCTTTAGTGGCGGAGGCGGGATTTATGACCTATACTGCAGCCCGTCACCAGAGGGTGCTGTTCTCGAAGTGGCTTCACCCAGTGAGGAGGCAGACGGCGTCCATTCTATATACAGTCTATGATACAAACCCAACTGCTTATGATTGGGAATCTCAAACTGCAGGTACAAAAGTCAGATTCGAAGCATTTATCTTTAAACACTGAAACGTTTCATTTTAAACCACTGAAAGTCATCAGATAGAAACCAGCCCAGATTAAATGGCTTCAGAAACTTGCAGCTCATGCAGGCAATTTTGTAATTATCCAATTTATGTGAAAAGGTGTGATATTTCCACAGAGCTGCTCATAATGGTCTATTATAAAAAAGTTTGCCAGCACAATGTTCCTCCACCCAGTCTAATTTCCAGCGCAGTGGAAAACAGCATTATCCAAGAACCCTTTTGAGAACCTCTAATCCCACCCTTAAACAGCCTGCCCTTTGTGCACATAAACCCTACAACTCCACGGATCACACGTTCTGCCAAACTACACTTCTGAGGCTGCATGTTAGCCGCCGATACAGCAGATACAAGGTGACTTCCTTTGAACAAAGAGATTGAAAGCAATAGACGTGTGAAAGTAACTGGGAATCCAAATGCAAACATCTATCCATGGTAATTTGTTGAGTTTGTTTAAGTTTACTTTGGTACTCCAAGAGCTGTCAAAGTTAGTCAAAATGAAGCTTAAAACCAAAACAATCTGCTTTTGTTAAAAGACACTGCACTGCACCCATGTCATGTACGATTCGTTTGCTGATTTCTGGTTTTCACGGCAAAGAGGGAGTCACTAGAGGACAAATGACAATCACTGATTGTGTTTCTTTTCTTCAAGCTTGATATCCTAGTAATTTAAAACCAAGGGGAAAAAAGTTTCAGGGACAAATTCAAGCGGAGGTCGCGGGACTACAATAGATAACGGAATTGGCAAAGGAAAGCTGAAATTAAATCTGTATTGAGTGGTGAAAAGAACATTTTCTTTTTACAGTCAACTCTTTCCACCAATGAGGAAACGAAATCCAACCGAGAAGTAACAAAACTTTAAAGAGGGATTATTATGCAAATTTTTTAGTTTTATATCATCCCCCAGATTTCCAATTTACACCTCAACAAACTCTGAACCTAATTCAGACTACTGTCTTTAAAAAACTTTCTGTCTGAAATCCTTTATTTGAGCCACTGTCCCTTTAAGGCACCCCCAGAATTTCATAATCCAGCTCTCGGAAGCCTCCTTCACTGTTGCCATGTAACAAAGTTGTGTGTGGCTGTATTTTATAGCTATTGTACATCTTTATACCTTGCATTCAAAGCCATAAATTCACCTATTTCTAGTCAAGAAAGGAAAAAGTTAATCTCACCAAGAACAAGACAGTTAATTTAAAGTAGTAGAGAGGACCTAATATTGATTAGAGATGTTCTCTCTACTCTAGTCAGCACCGACACGATGATGCGTCAGCTGACAAGACAGGTCCAAGTTTGTCGAGTATCTGACCGTTTGTCTTGTATTGATCCAACTGTACCCGGGGAGTCAGACGAGGACAGCAGGGGGTAAGACAGAGAGAAAAAGTGAGGCACCATGGGGAGAAAACGACTGTGAATCAACTTCTTCCAACTCAGTGTATTAAAAAAGGGGAGAAAAGTCACAGGTCCTGTTTGATCTGAAGCTGAGCGGTAATTCCGAGCAGACTTGAAGGAGAGGTTGGCTTAGTGCTTACAGGTTTGGATCACTGTTAATTAAGATCAAATGCATTTTTACATATTTCCCCAAATTCAAATTACACCCCGTCCCTCCCTCCTAACGCACAAGCTTCCCCTTGCCTCCTTCTTTCCTTCCTCCTCATAGGGCTTAACCTCGCTCCTGGTGTCCCAGATTATGCAGCCAATTAGGGCAAAGGCAAATTCCCTTCTGCCACCAAGCTTGGCTGCAGAGAGGCGTGTGTGAGCGTGTGGTTATTTGAATGTGGCACCAGTTGTTGTCATTCTGTAGCGAGACTCCACAAGGACACAGATTGGCTAAGTAGAAGCCTTTATGAATCTGAATTAAAGGCGATATTATCTGGTTTTCTGAACACATATTACTAGATGTGAATAAGGCGTGCGAGATGCGAGACTTCCTCAATTCTCATTTGTGATTGAATATCTTACAGACTGTGTAGAAAGTGCAACGCTGTCATGGATTTCATTATATTTTATTCAACAGCACCACCAACTGGCAAATAATAAGACGCTGATTTAAAATTCAGCTGCAAATTCACAAAAAAAAACAGAGGGTGTGATGAAAGTCAGAGAGCTTCTTTTGAAATGAGAAACACAGAATGAGAAATTAGCTGCTACCTGAGTCTGTCTCTCTGTTTCTGACCCTGTTGAGGCCGGGGAATTCATTTGCACACACAGCGCCGGCCTGCAGTATGCAAATGAAGACACACATGATGCAAGTCATCCACTGTCTGAGTGAGAATCAGAGTTTCTAGTGGACATGTTGGTGGTGACAGAGTAAAGCTGGTTCATTCAGGTCCCTTGAGGGATGATGTGCTACCTTTATAGCTAAGACCAGGATGATCCTCGCTGTTTTTCCTCATGTTACCCCTCGGTTCGTGGTCGTCTTCCTCATCATTGTTGTCTTGCTGCTCTCTGAGGGGTATCAGGGTGCTGCGGCTGAACTGACATGACGGTTTCCCAAGAATCCCGAAGCTGCTTTATAAATAAATGAACAGAGAGGAAATGGGGAAAGGTGAATTAATTTTACATAACAAATATCACATTTACAGAAGGACATAGGTAGCACACAATCTCTTTATATTTTTTAATAACAATGGTCTATGAATCAATTTGCCTATCTAGTTAGATGAAAGTTCCTATCTCTATTGAAAAATAATGCCATTGTCTCTTTATGGCAATCATAAAATTACCAGAACAGCATGCTTTGTTACAGAAGTCTTGGGCGTACAATTTGGTGTTGTTTTTCAAAACAAACTGGAAACAAGAAAAATGAATTTAAAAAACAAAGTTTGAGCACAAATGTTTGCAAAAGACAGGAGGAGAAGTTAGGAATAACAGAGAGACAACAATAAAAAGGAAAACGTTAAATAAAACAAAACCTAAATGATTAAATATTAAAATTACAGCCAAGTCTTTAAAAGTGAAGTGTGTCTGATTCTTTATCACAACACTGCACATACATTAGTTAAAGTGTCTCAGTGTTACAGCTGGTTTGTTTTGAGTATATCTGCCTCTCCTCTGTTATCTTAATGTCCAGCAGTAAAACAGCAACAAGCCCCGTCTTCCACAGACCCTTTATGTGGGGCATTTTTTTATCTCTACCTCACCTGACACCAGCCAGCTGCTGGTCCAGCTCCTCTGCCAGAGCGTGGGTGTCACAGCGCTCCACTGGCAGCAGGCTCTGCCTCTTGGCCCGGCTGCCGAGGAACAGATGGGGTGAAAGTTCTTTGGGCGAGGGCAGCAGGGACACCAGCAGTGGGGATCGCTGATTAGCTAATGAGCTGAGGGGAGGGTGTTTCTGCAATGATCTGAAGACAGAGACAAATTATTATAGATTACATTGGGACATATGGAAGTCCTCAGAGGCAAGATAGAATAAATGTTAGGGGTCTATTTTTATTAAAGGTACTATAAGGAGTTTTTGAATGACTGAGGTCCAGGCTGAGACTGATCTCATTGTGTCTTTCTGGCATTTGAAAGCAAATAAGATCATCAGAAACAAAGCTGAAATTTCCTCTGTTGTAATTTACATGTGCCCGAAACAGCTGTGAAGGGGGCGGAGTCAAGTGAGTTGATTGGCTAAAGAAACATATTTACAGCTTGTTTGGGGCTTCAAAGCAGGACTATTGATAGCTTTTAGTAAGTAATATCAACTTTTTATTGTCTTATTCACTTCGAATAACGAACATGTATAAATTTGTGAAAAGATCCTGAAACATTTTTATAAACCATTCACAAAATGTAAAAGCAAATAAGAGGCTTAAAGGGATATTAGAATTAAGCTAGGGTCAAACACACCGTAACACAGAGTTAGACACCCCCTCGAGAGATGAATGTTGCTGACCGCTTGCTTGTCTAGTTATACCAACTTTAGTAACGACCACACGATAGCAAAACAGAAAGCCACGCGCTCAACCAAAACGCCACTCTATAGCCACAAATAATGTTCAGAACAGCACCTAACTTCATCAACAGTACAACCTTTTTAGCTTTGCCTAATTTCTTTAGACATAAACATTCTTCATTGAGCTGCATCACCCCGCTGCGGTCAATGGACTCGCCCAAACAAGCGGCTGCTGGAAGAGAGTAGGTGAGTTGTGTTTAGTCTCTTTGCTAAAGAAATCAGGGAAAGCTAGAAAGATGTTTGGTGGCTGGTGCTGTTGCTGGGACCCTATATGAACTGTTGATGAAGTTTGGTGCCGTTCTGAGCATTATTTGTGGCTATAGAGTGGCGTTTTGGTTGAGCGGGTTACTAAAGTTGGTATAACTAGACAAGCAAGCGGTCGGCAACATTCATCCCTCGACTGGGTGTCTAACACGGTGTTACGGCGTGTTTGACCCTAAATTAATTCTACGCCGGAATATCCCTTTAACTTGTGAACTTTCCTTGCATCATTTATTTAATCAAGTGTACTACTTAACATCTGTCCACATGATCGTTTATTCCCCTTCAGACAGCAGCTGTGTTTGCACCAGGAGACATCCCTGTTATATTCCAGTTAGTCATACATACCTAAAGTACTCATGGTGGAAACTTAAACAAATATCCAGAACTAATTAATCAGGAAAACAGCTATGGCAGCCAAGTTGTCAAGACCCAGGTTCTTATCCAGAACTAATGCAAAAAACATTATGGTAGAGACTTTTTTTTCCTCCAATCACAATCTTTTCAGTTTCTGTGAGGCAGCTGGAAGCGCTGCTGAAGCTCATCCAAATCATGTCATGTATATCCACCCTCAGGAGGAGAGCAAAGCTTCGAGCCCGGCTCTGGATTGTTTGGTCTCAACCTGACAGCAGGAAAGAGCGCTAGGCCTCTGACAGCTTACACAACTGCCAATCTAGTGTCAGACATACCAGAGCAACATAAAACAGGCTGTCAGACACTCCCTCCTGTCAGGCAGAGCTACAAATCTGTCTACATCAATCATATTACAGTGTCAGCTCTGACATGATATTCATCAGACATTGGCAGCTTTACCGCTGGATGTATTAAGTTATTTACCTCCAAAAACTCTAAATCTGGATTAGTTTGGTAAAGCACATGCCCTCGGGAGCAGCTCGTTGAAATACAAATATCAGATCACACAACAACTTCTTAAACTAAGTAAGAGATTAAATGTTTTATTTCTTCACTGGTTGGAGCCCAAAAACTCAGATTTAAACTGCACCGAGGCCAGAGAAGCATTCTTCGATTTTTCAGTGTAATTAGTTTTAACGGTAGCAAATGAGCTGCAGAGCAAAAATGGACTAAAGCTGATGAAAATGTCACAACCTCATATTGCTCTTCCATCAGCAGCTCAAATTCTTCCACAGGGAGAATTTGCTTCATGCCGATTAACACTGTATAAAAAAATTCACACAGAAAGGATCCTTAAAGTGGCAATGACCTAAAAAAGACACCATACAACTCAGATCTGATCCGATCCAATGGCATGTGAGGTGCGATGTGACGCGATGCAATACAATTTCACGTAATGCAATGTTATGCAGTGCATTAGTAAAAAGAATGGACGACACATCATGGTAAGATTGACCTGCAACGATATGATGCTGTACGATATATGATACAATGCAAAATGATACAATATGATAAATTTTAAAATGATACAACACAACACGCTTCGATATGATACATCACAATACGACACAATAAGTATTAGAGAACGATTAGAGATATCCAATCCAATATTGATATCGGATATCAGAAAAAAAATTGAATATCGGATTGTATCGGCCTGCATCTAAAACCTCCGACATAAGCACTCTGATAAAAGCAGTCCATTCCAGACTTCAGGCTCCAGCACTTCGATCTAGCTCATGTGGCATTATTTTTGTCAAAGTCCGAAAAAGACATTTCAGCTGAGTGCAAAACTTGTCATGCACAAGGTTGTGCCAATATCGGATCAATATCGGCATCGGCCAATACTGAAAAATACAGTATCGATATTGTATCGGAAGTAAAAAAGTTGTATCGGGACACCCCTAGTAACAATACAATATGACACGACATGACACACCATGACACGATACGACATAATACGACACAATACGATACGCTTTGATGTAATATGATGCGACACACTATGATACAATGTGATACGATGTGATTTGTCTTGTGAACACTCTGGGTGATGCCCACATTTATCCTCCATCCCATTAGTTTGAATAAATTAAAAACAATCAGCAATCAATAGTCTATGGTCAAACGACACATGGCAGTGACCACCACAAACAACATAAATTGCACATACGCCGTAATGCACATGCTCATGGTAAACCATTGCACCCTCATGAGTGAAATACTGGTGAAACACATAAAAACAAGATGATTGATTATCGTTCTATTTATAAAAAATAGAGGCAGAGTCAAAGCGAGTAAAGGCCCCCACATGGCCCCAGCCCAACCTTTACCTCTCTTTAACCTGCAGGTGCTTGGATGTGCAATTAGATCCCGTCTCTTTGGGGTCAGTTTCTCCCATCTTCACTGAACCAGAAATAATAGCGGGGGTCATTTCTGGGTCTCCATCTGCCCTCCTCCTCACTGCCATGTTGAAGGTGTCAGAGTAGAAAAGACGCCCCACCTCCTCTTGGATGTCCTTCAGGTCTTTTCTGCCGAATGTCACCCAGGCCACAAAGCAGAAGAAGCTGTACAAGCACTAGAAAGAAGAGAGTTGTTGTTTTCTTAAATTAACATGTTCCCAAGATGAAAATTCAAGCATTTTACCTGCCTCCTTTGTGACTTGAAACCTAAGCAGGAGCAAAATCTTCTGTGTTTTTCAAAAAACGTCAAAACAGCTATTCCCATCCAAGATAAAGGTCACATACAGAGCAGAGCAATAAGCTGCTGTTAGGGAGATTTTTCTCTCGATGTCCGCCCACCTGCCTAAATACAGGAAGGAGCCTGTCAAAGCAAAGCACCTGCACTGAGTCAACATCGCCTACCAATAACTAATTCATTAAGGCCACCGGGCAGAACCAGCCCAGAAGCTGAACTGTTCTGCTCACTGCCGTCTGTGTTCCCAGATGGTGAAGTGGCCTCCGCTCTGGCCAGTGAAGAGAACAACTTTATTTCTGTGCAGATGACCAAATACATTCTCTAATGTTTTGGAAGGAGATTAATTTCAGGTCATTAGTGAGTCAAATTAATCGAGAGAAGAGAGGGGAATGAGGGCAGAGGACAGAATCATGAACCAGCTCCTTCTGGTGGTGAACTTTTGTTGCAGATTTTTCACCAGGATTGGAGGGAGAGTTTGTCAAAGTTTAGTATTCAAAATTTACCCTGACAAAACAGCTTTTTATTCACCATAAGTAAGAGATAAAAGTGGTGTTTGGATTAAATCTTACTCCTTTGTTTATTTTTTTTGCTGTGGATAGCTGCATGATAAGGTGGACGCCAAGAGTGCAACCCAAAAGTGAAGCCAAAAGATTTAGAGCTCCCCCTGCTGACTGGGTGCAGTATAGGTCATAGAGCCTGTCTCCTCTATGTTAACAGATCGGACAGGGATTTAAAGTCAAAACGCAAGTGACTATCTGATTATAATCTCTTCTCATTGAGTTCATTTATGTCCGATTTTTCATTTTAAGAGAAAAGTTTTTTCGCTTAGTTATTTGATTTTAAAATCTTGAATTACCTCTTTTTCAGCTGTGTTGTCAAATATGTCGAATTGGACGTATTTTAGCATCACTTTTGTGCAACAGGAAGATTTACAGGTGTGTCTTCCACTTTTATACATAATCAAATGTAGAGATAATTATGTATTTTTTTCATGATGCTGGTATTTTGGTTAGGTTAACAGCCAAAGTGGTTGAATTTAAAAACACGCAGCATTGTAATAAATGATGTTGTTTTTTTCTCTGGAAAAGCAAGAAATGATAAGGAGAGTCTATTTTCTTCCTGTTTACAGTTGTCTAGTGATATATATAAGTCCTCCCATTATGCTGTGTTTGATCCCTACTGCACTTACAGCATGTAGAAGCCATTCTGTACTGTTTGAAGACATCCGGCCCCTGGAAAAACACACAAGATTCACTTTATTCAACGCTGACATGTTGAATTCATCACCGGATCTCAAGTTTTAGGTCAGAACCTGGAACCTGAATGACTTTACAGCTCTGATAGCTCCTGTATATTTCAACAGTACGCATCTTTATCGAGAGCAAAGCTTTTTCCAAGAGAAACCCGTGACTATTAGACGCTTTCGTGCAGATCTTACTCTAAGTTGCAGTGACAGCAGAGTGTCGCTGATGGTTTTTATGTCCCCTGGGAAGACATTAACTGCTGCTGCTTCCAGGAGGTATTTGAAATTCAAGGAGCAGTTTCTCAGCATACCTCCTGCACTACACTGAACAAATACTCGCTTGCGATATGATGAGCGTTGATGCTGTTCTATTTCCAGGTCCATGATCAGGCTGAAGTAGCAGACAGACAGCTTCTTTTGAGCTATGTCCTTTTTGGCCAAAGCTTCGGCCATCATCTGGCGCTCTGTGATGATGTCACTGGCAGGTTTGTCGGCGAAGGAGTGAGGAGACAGACGATTGAAAAACCCAAAGGAAGGAAAATGGTTAAAGTTAAAATACAACAATGTTACTGAAACATAATGAGAAAAATGAGCATCACTGTCAACACTCTTGTGTACTTACACTATCAGAGGCTTTGATTTTTCCCCCAGAGATTTATGATTGAAGAAACAAGACAGATATAAGAGGAGGGCTGTCAAAATCTTATCAAGCTGTTCGCTCCTGGAAAAAACACCAACAGCTTTCATTAGTGTATTCTTTGCCTCTTTATACTGTGCACAACAATGTTTATATGATTAATAATGTGCCTTTCTTTCTATTTCTTACTTTAACAAAGCCAAGAACCCGAGAGGAATTGGGAGTGAATAATTCTCCTGCAGCAAACCAACAGCCACCTCTATAACAAAGAGAGCTTAATCAGAATGTGGTCAAAGGTCCTCTAGCCTGGACAAATGCTCCCATTATTACCCTAAATGTATTTAATTTGTAAACGACAGAATGGAAATAGTGTCAGGATCACTTTAAATACACCAATACAGCCTCCAAAGTAAATACAGTCTCTCCATCTACAGCTGGTAGAGGTGCCCTGCAGGATTATTCAGAAACAAATTGACACTTGCGTTTCACATCCTCAATGGTGACCCGGTCCCCCTGTCTCTTCATCACATCAGACCTGTAAGCACTCAGATGGGCCGGGCTGAGACTCTTTTTGAGGCTGTGGTGCCCTCTGTGGTTCAGTGGAGACATATCAGCCAGCCTGTGGAAACAACAGTAATCAGCAGTCTCAAACATGTGAGAGTCAAAACTTCTAAGAGCAGTTTAATGCCAGAGCTGTTGAAAGCAACATCTCTTCTTCTCATTAAGTGACCAGAAACGTGTTAAAATGTGAGCAAAAGTCAAATTCAATGACTTTTTAAAGCTTTAAAGGGATATTCTGGCGTAATATTAATTTAGGGTCAAACACACTGTAACACAGGATAGCAACACACAGTGGTCTCAGGAGCCATCGAAACATCAACCAAAACACCACTCTATTGCCACAAATAATGTTCAGAACAGCACCTAACTTCAAGAAATCAGGCAAAGCTAAAAGGATGTTTGATGGCTGGGACCCTATATGTACTGTTGATGAAGTTAGGTGCTGTTCTGAGCATTATTTGTAGCTATGGAGTGGCGTTTTTGTTAAGGTTTCTGTGTGGCTCCTTAGACCGCTGTGTATTGCTATCGTGTGGTCGTTTCTAAAGTTGGTATTACTAGAGAAGAAAGCGGTCGGCACCATTAATCTCTTGAGAGGGTGTCTAACTGTTACGTGTGTTTGACCCTAAATTAATTTCACGCCGGAATATCCCTTTAAGGCCTAACTTACCACTCAGACCGCATCAGAAGCTCTCTAAAGTCGATGTTTGTTGTCTCCCTCACTCTTGTAACACCTTCTTCTGTTGGACTAGAGCTAGAGAAAGGTAAAAAGTTTAGTAGCATTATATCCAAACAATGTAAAAAGAGTGTGGTCAGGTGCAGTAAAGTGCCTCTGCTGTAAATAGGCCCTACCTACCTTAGAAACTCCAATGTGTCTGTTTCATCATTCCACACCCAGCGGCCTGTAGGAGGCATGCTCACCTAAAAGATATTTCTCTAATGTCAAACACTTCTTGATATATCACAATGTAGGGTTTTAGTCTAATGCACGTCCATATTAGACGGCTAATGAGGGTGAAATTGCAATACAAACATAAGAAATAGCTCGTTGTCGGATAGTTTTAGTTCTTAGCAAACTTCTATAACCGTCACTCTGCCTCCTCATAACTTTTTATTTCAATTGTATGTCTCAATATATCAACTTACATGTCTCGTCTCTTCGGGATATTTCGGCATTTCTTCGGCCAAATTCACTCGCTACTGTTCAGTTCCTTGTTCCGCTTCTAATGTTGGGCACTGTATCCGGGCAACAGCCAATGAGAGAGAAGCTTCTACCTTGGTGCATCTTAACGTGCCGCCTTCAGATTCCGTCGGCTTTTGTAACTTCTGTTTGAGTTTATGGCGAAAAAAAGTCACCTTAAAGCGCACAGAATATGTTCATAACCTCGTATTATACGCTTTGAAGCCTTAACTGTGATATTTCTTAACCCAGTGACAGCTGTTGAAGAGTTTTTCTCAAGTTGAGAAATCCAGGCTATGTGCTATATCGGGTCTGTAGCTGTTTCCTTCTTTCTTATGAGAGTGACCCTGTTTGTCTAACTGGGTAATTTAACTGCACTTTGTTTTAATCTGTTTCACTGTCAAAAAAAATAAAAATATCAAAAGCTTACAAGTTTGCTCGAAGATAGTAACCTTATGTGTTCACTTTTGACACAACACACCCTTCTGCAGTGGGATAAGTTTCAAAAACTGATATCACACCCTATTTAACATATTTTAAGTTTTCAAAGGGCATCCTATCCACACAAACAGCCTTAAAAACAAAGCTGGGTTGATGGAATTGAGGTCACCCATGTGGACTTTACTGCTGAAACCCCATCACTTCGCCAAAACTGCAAACCTCTGCAAAAACAACAGTTTACTTCAACCTTTGATCATCCTAAATCTCTTTCCCCCTTCATGAATTTTTTTTTTGGATATACATCCTGCTTTATTTGAACAGTCTATTTTCTCCATCAAGTTTCTAAAACATATTTAAACCCCTTGCAACTCTCTACTTGCAAGATGCCTTTCTGCAACCATTACCAAATATAAGTAACACATGACAGCCAACCCTTCTATTACAAACAAATTTTTCAAATCATGTGTCAGTACACGACTTCATAAAAATAGTAAGTTTAAAATTATTTAAAGAACAGGCAGCTTAATTAACCTCCAACAATCAAAGATATGTTCAAATGATAAAAACTGACTTTGACCTGCAATTGCCATGAAATTCCTATGATGTTTTTGAACTATCATGTTAGTTTCTAGCTGCTTTTAGGAGTGATAAGGTGCACATGTTCACTTATGGATTCCAGCAGCCCCCAGCCTTGGTGCTCCTCAGTGATGGTGTCCACCGCTTGCAAGAATTCGATATTGCAGCTGTTCCCTAAGATGGAAAAATGCACAATGTTAGCACGCAGCATCCTAAAATCACTTCTCCTGTGAATCCTGGAACTTTTAAAGTGCTGTGTATATTGTGGTTGATTTAAAAGAGTGAGTTTAAACACTCATGGCTGTTCTTCAAAACTCACAAAACAGACTTTGCACTTGTTCATCGGGCACAAAAAATGGAGAGCCTTAAAGAAAAACATACAATCACAGAAAGTTTTTACATTTTAAAATACTGTGCAAACCCACTAAAACTCTGCATGTTCTTTGGATTTATGAATAAGTGACAAAGAACGGTAGGATTTTCTTGTTTTGGCGTCCTAACAGTTACCTGGATACAATTCAGGATTGTACAGGAAGGTGTGCAGGAGGTATCTGCAGTCTTTGGCCATGAGGGGAATTATGACAGCAACATACCTGTCAAATTGTACAAAATATGTATGAGAAAACTTGGAGCAAAAGTTTAGTTTCCTCCCAAAATATAAAAAAAAAAAAACGGTAAAAATGTCTAATATACAGTCTCAAGCTATGGTACAGTCTCCTCTCACTTTTCTCTGTCTCGTGGGCTGATGGCCACCAGAGATCCTCTGTCCCAGATTGCCCCGAACTGACCTCCAACTGAACTGTTATCCAGAAACACAAGATTTCAGTTAAACATTAGCTTGTGGGATTAGCCAGGCCTCCCTTGCCCGCCTGCAGCTTGTGCAGAACTCTGCTGCACGTCCTGACTCAGACCCGCAGGAGTGAGCACATCACCCCCATCCTGGTGTCCTTACCCTGGCTCCCTGTACAGTACAGAATTCATTTTAAGCTTTTAATATTTGTTTTCAAGGGCCTGAACAATCTTGCTCCACCCTATATCTCTGAGATGCTCCAGCCTTATTGCCCACCCCGACCTCTACGATCAGCTGATCAACTGTTACTAATGGTCCCCAATACAAGGCTGAAGCTCAGAGGGGACAGAGCATTTGCCGCTGCTGCCCCTAAGCTCTGGAATGAGTTGCCCTTGAAAATTAAACAGGCCTCCTCATTTCCCATTTTTAAATCCCTTTTAAAAACGCACTTTTACTCCTTGGCTTTTGATACATTGTAGTGTTCTATTGTTTTTTAACATCTTAGCACTTGCCGTGAGCCTGCTTATTTATATGCTTATTTATTCTTTTGCATGAATGTATTTCTACTCGCTTTATCTTGTTCTTTGATTGTTTTATTTGTTTTTATGTGTCATCGTACAGCACTTTGGCTACCCTTGTGGTTCTTTTAAATGTGCTTTAGAAATAAAGTTGATTGATTGATTATGAGTTGTAACTGTTCTATGAAGAGGAGTAAAAGCTGTAAATTTCCAACCTGGAGAAGTCGAACAGGTTACACTGATATAAGGAGATGTTTCTTTCTGAGCCCTGTGGAATAAAGACAGTTTTGATTAATGATTCTACACATATTGGGGTGAAAACAATGTGTATTTCCTCCAGTTATATAATCTGGTTATTCTTTCACCTTCAGGGAAATGTTGCTGTGCCGTCACGCAAGTCCAGCCTTATTTTTACAATAACAAGACATAGTAATGTGTCCTAGACATCTACAAGGGTATTTTTTACAATCAAGCCACCAAAGGGGCTACTCAAAAAATACAGTACAAGTGAGACTGAATTAAACTATCTTTGGGTGGTAATACAACCTACTCTCCAAACTGCTTGTTAATGTAATAATAACTGACTTTTCGACAGTTTTAAAGACATCTGGAAATGCCTTAGCTGATTAATATTTGAACTGGCTGCCGAGTGGGGTTTAATTCCACTTAATAATGACATGTATTTTCCATCCTAAAAAGCAGTATATCAAATTTTATAATTGTGATTGGCTGGTGTTTAATACAAATATTGTTGTGATGCAGTTTCTGAAATCTAACCCAGTTTTTTGCACTGCTTTCATCCCTGATTCCTCATTTTTACAGTTCAATACCTTGTAGACCTTAGCTCCAGGTATGGCGGGGACATCTTCTTCACTGTAGGTCATATTGTTCTCCTCAAAGAACTGTTTAATTGCCTTTTCAGATATCTCCACCCCCACCACTGAATGGCCCATGTCTGCCAGCCTGGTAGTGGCACACAAAGTGGAGTGAATTTAGCTCGCTGGAAGATCAAATCCTTTTCATTTATTTGCAACAAAACAAAACAAAACAAAACCGAAAATGCAAATAATGAATGTTGTCCCTCTTATAGAATAAAGTACCATTTCATGTCCACAGCTTTCCCACACAGAGGGAAGAAGAAGCGAACTCCTGTCCGTCCTGCAAGAACTTTTTCAATGTGTGTCTCCAGCATTCTGCCAAAACAAATTTATACAATTAGTTCACGATTTATAGATGATAACCTGTCACTTAAACTTCTGGACTTTATAGAAAAAAGGAATCAAAATTTCAAGTTGATTGTATAGGCTGAGATACAATCAACTTGAGCATACAGATAGAAAATAAATGAGGTCCAAAAACTGACCCCTGAGGTACCCCACAGTTCACTTCAGAGTGAAGGGAAACATGCGCTTCATTTGAAATATAAAATCTCAGATTTGTTAAATATAAATAAAACCAGTTCAAAGCTGTTCCTGATATACCAGCCCGACGCTGCAGCCTGTACACAGCTTATTTGTTTAATGCAGCTTTTCTGGTCATTATTAATCATGCTTAATTACACATGCAGTTGCAGAACTTTCTTTTAACTTCCCCATTAAAAGGAAAGTGGAGCATTTACTTGTGTACATGAGGCAGATGGAAACCGATCCTGTTCTCCTGCCAGCGTTCCTCCCATTCTCCAACCTCCATGACCCGATCGGCTTGTGGTGCCAACATGCTGGTGATGTTTGTCTCGCCCCGACTACGGTGAGACAACAAACAATTGAGATATCACAATTCAGATCTATGGATTAAGACATGAGTGTGTAAGGCCTTCATTACAACAGAGCTACAAAATACTGGCCAAAGACATTAAGATTTTAATCTAGGAAGACTTCACATGGCTTGCATAATACAGTTAAACATTTCCAAAGTCAATAAAGTTAGTTATTGTTAATAAAAGTTAATTAAAGTTAAAAACGGTAGATTAAAACCACAAACTTGAAGTATTGTGGAGCTTTCTTTGTGCTTCAACCTCGGACTTACCTTGCAGCAGCTTGACATAAAACCAACCACAGAAACTTCAAGAATAAATCAGAGTTTCGCATTTTCCTGAATTTAAACAAACAGCGTACCTTTATTACCAAGAGAGAAGGGCAGCCAATATTTGTTCAGCAGCAGACAGGGAGCAGCAGGATCATGAGGGTATTGAATGACACAGCCTGTCAGGTCGTAAATTTAACGCCACAAGTTGTTTTTTCGATGATAGTGGAGTGTTTTTTTCAGGAAGCTACTCCTAACAAGCGAAACTCCGGGTGTTAATAGCAGCCATTCAACCCGATATTAATTTCTGATTTGGGCGGAGTCTCAATGCTGCGTTCACTGACATAAAAACCATAGGCAATATCACAAAAAATTAACAACGCTGCTTTCTTTTACCCTTGAGCCCAATTATATTTTAATATGAGACTACTGGTCAAATCAGCATGTGACAAACGCCTTCAGTTCAGCCAAGAAAACCTAAATAGATAAATAATTGTCCTAAATTTTCTTTGTTTTGTCTTTTAAATGCTCTTAAATTAAATGTTCTTATTAAATGTCTATATTAAATGGCTTATGGTCATGTTAACAGACTGTTTTTATTTATTCATTATTTAGTGTAAATATTGTAACAGTATTTGTAGAATGTGTACTGTGTTTCATTGGTGCTGCCCTATCTATCTATCTATCTATCTATCTATCTATCTATCTATCTATCTATCTATCTATCTATCTATCTATCTATCTATCTATCTATCCATCCATTTCCCAAGTAAATATTGTCACTATTAGATTAAGATGTTAACAACTTCAATGGAATTGAGGTCACCCATGTGGACTTTCCTGCTGAAACCCCATCACTTAACCAAAACTACAAACCTCTGCAAAAAAAAACAGTTTACTTCAACCTTTGATCATCCTGAATCTCTTTCCACCTTCATGCATTTCTTTCTTGATATACATCCTGCTTTATTTGAACAGTCTATTTTCTCCATCAAGTCTCTAAAACTTATTTAAACCCCTACTTGCAAGATGCCTTTCTGCAACCATTACCAAATATAAGTAACACATGACAGCCAACCCTGGTATTCATAAAGAAAGAGAGATTTAATTACAAACAAATTTTTTCAAATCTTGTGTCAGTACACGACTTCATAAAAATAGTAAGTTTAAAATCATTTAAAGAACAGGCAGCTTAATTAACTTCCAACAATCAAAGATATGTTCAAATGATAAAAACTGACTTGGACCTGCAATTGCCATGAAATTCCTATGATGTTTTTGAACTATCATGTTAATTTCTAGCTGCTTTTAGGAGTGATAAGGTGTACATGTTCAGTTAGGGCATCCAGCCCCCAGCCTCGGTGCCTCTCAGTGAAGGCGTCCACCGTTTGCAAGAATTCGATATTGCAGCTGTTCCCTAAGATGGAAAAATGCACAATGTTAGCACGCAGCATCCTAAAATCACTTCTCCTGTGAATCCTGGAACTTTTAAAGTGCTGTGTATATTGTGGTTGATTTAAAAGTGTGAGTCTAAACACTCATGGTTGTTCTTCAAAACTCACCAAACAGACTTTGCACTTGTTCATCAGGCACAAGAAATGGAGGGCCTCAAAGAAAAATATATAATCACAGAAAGCTTTTACATTTTAAAATACTGTGCAAACCCACTAAAACTCTGCAGGTTCTTTGGATGAATAGGTGACAAAAAACAGCAGGATTTTCTTGTTTTGGCGTCCTAACAGTTACCTGGATACAATTCAGGATTGTACAGCAAGGTGTCCAGGAGGTATCTGCAGTCTTTGGCCATGAGGGAAATTATGAGAGCAACATACCTGTCAAATTGTACAAAATATGTATTAGAAAACTTGGAGCAAAAGTTTAGTTTCCTCCCAAGCTATTACAAAAAACTGTAAAAATGTCTGATATACAGTCTCCTCTTACTTTTCTCTGTCTCGTGGGCTGATGGCCACCAGAGATCCTCTGTCCCAGATTGCCCCGAACTGACCTCCAACTGAACTGTTATCCAGAAACACAAGATTTCAGTTAAACATTTGCTTGTGAGTTGTAACTGTTCTATGAAGAGGAGTACAAGCTGTAAATTTCCAACCTGGAGAAGTCGAACAGGTTACACTGATATAAGGAGATGTTTCTTTCTGAGCCCTGTGGAATAAAGACAGTTTTGATTAATGATTCTACACATATTGGGGTGAAAACAATGTGTATTTCCTCCAGTTATATAATCTGGTTATTCTTTCACCTTCAGGGAAATGCTGCTGTGCTGTTATGCAAGTCCAGCCTTATTTTTGCAATAACAAGACATAGTAATGTGTCCTAGACATCTACAAGGGTATTTTCTGCAATCAAGCCACCAAAGGGGCTATTTAAAAAATACAGCACTGGTGAGACTTAATTAAATTATCTTTGGGTGGTAATACAACCTACTCTCCAAACTGCTTATTAATGTAATAATAAATGACTTTTCAACAGTTTAAAAGACATCTTGAAATGCCTTAGCTGATTAATATTGGAACTGGTTGTCGAGTAGTATTAAATTCCACTTAATAATAACATGTTTGTTCCATCCTAAACAGGAGTGGTTCAAATTTTAAAACTGTTATTGGCTGGTGTTTAATATAAATACTGTTATGATGCAGTTTCTGAAATCTTACCCAGTTTCTTTGCACTGATTTCCTCCCTGATTACTCATTTTTACAGTTCAATACCTTGTAGACCTTTGCTCCTGGTATGGCGGGGACATCCTCTTCACTGTAGGTCATATTGTTCTCCTCAAAGAACTGTTTAATTGCCATTTCAGATATCTCCACCCCCACCACTGAATGGCCCATGTCTGCCAGCCTGGTAGTAGCACACAAAGTGGAGTGGATTCAGCTCACAGGAAGATCAAATCCTATTCATTCATTTTTAACACAACAAAAAAAAATGTTTTCCTTCTTGTAGAATCAAGTACCATTTCATATCCACAGCTTTCCCACACAGAGGGAAGAAGAAGCGAACTCCTGTCCGTCCTGCAAGAACTTTTTCAATGTGTGTCTCCAGCATTCTGCCAAAACAAATTTATACAGTTAGTGAAAAAATGACATTCATGATTTATAGATGATAATCTGTCACTTAAACTTTTAGACTTAATAGAAAAAAGCAATCAAAATCTCATGTTGATTGTATCGTCTGAGTGTCAACGGTACAGCAATGAAATGAATTATACTGTCTCTGTATTCTACAACCAAGCAGCAGCATGCAGATAGAAAATAAATTAGGTCCAAAAACTGACCCCTGAGGTACTCCACAGTTCACTTCAGAGTGAGGGGAACATGCTCCTCATTTGACATATGAGATCTAAGATTTGTTAAATTCAAATAAAACCAGTTCAAAGCTGTTCCTAATATACCAACCACAGCTTTATTCATTTGATGCAACATTTCTGGTCATTTTAATCTTGCTTAATTACACATGCAGTTGCAGAACTTTCTTTTAATTTCCCCATTAAAAGAAAAGTGGAGCATTTACTTGTGTACATGAGGCTGATGGAAACCGATCCTGTTCTCCTGCCAGCGTTCCTCCCATTCTCCAACTTCCATGACCCGACTGGCTTGTGTTGCCAACATGCTGGTCATGTTTGTCTCGCCACGACTACTGTGAGACAACAAACAATTGAAATATTATAATTCAGATCTATGGATAAAGACATGGGCATGTAGGGCGTCATAACAACAGAGCTACAAATTGCTGGCCAAAGACATGAAGATTTAAATCTAGGAGGACTACACATGGTCAACTTACCCCTTACCATAGGAGACCACTTTAGGAGACCACTTTTTTGGCATGCTATATTATCAAGACAGTTCTGTTTACACTCATTCTGTTGGTTTGCAGGGATGCACAACATCTTGAAATATATGCAGATACACTAGTTAGAGACAAAACTATGATTGTCTTGATGTAGTGATTCAAACTATGAAAAACTGGCTCATCTTACCCCACTCTTCCCTAAATGAGCTTGTAGGGCATAAACTAAAAAAACTAAGTGACCCAGGAGGATCAGGGAGATTATTCGATGCAACAGAACCAGCTATAGCCAGAACTGGGCTTTAAAGAAGGTCATGCATTGAAGGTCATATGTAACCTATACTATGTAACTGTGAAGCTGAGAGTTACATTATATCAGCTGTTTACTGTTGGTCACGTGATTGACCAAATTGGACAGCAGGATAAACGGCTTGCATAATACAGTAAAACATTTCCAGAATCAATGATTAAAAGCGAACCAGTTTTCAGGAAAACCTCAGTTAATATTGTTAAATTAAAACCACAAACTCTTAGTATTATGGAGCTTTCTTTGTGTGTTAACCTCGGACTTACCTTGCAGCGGCCTGACATAAAACCAACCACAGAACCTTCAAGAATAAATCAGAGTTCCGCATTTTCCTGAATTTGAACAAACAGCGTACCTTTATTACCAAGAGAGGACAGCTAATATTTGTTCAGCAGCAGCAGACAGGGAGCAGCGGGATCATGAGGGTATTGAATCACACAGATCGATTCACAGTGGTCAGCTGACTCTCTCTGCCCTGAGTTTAGTCTTTCAGGTCGTAAATTTAACGCCACAAGTTGTTGTTTCGATGAGAGTGGAGCGTTTTTTTTTCAGGAAGCTACTCCTAACAAGCGAAACTCCGGTGCTGCGTCCGAACTGCCCGCTCGGATACTACATGCTACTGCTACGTGCTACTGCTAGATCCTACTCCTACATACTAAAAACGTTGGCCCAATTCGGACACACTAGACGAGCGGTGGGGAAAGACGACCCCCGCAGGCAGAGAGTAGGTACTGCGCCCGTGCAGACAGTGGTAACTGAAGCCCCTCATCTGCGGGCCTGGCTGTAGTACTGCAGCTGTGCAGTTTAATGATGGAATAAGTGAGCTTTGCCTCCATGATTTCGCCACTTGCTCATAAAATGATTACTTGGGCAAATATGACACCATGACATGACAAAGAGATACAACCGCACATTTTTTAGGACAGTGTGTGAAGTTACATGAAACTTACATCTGTACTGCTGCGGTCCCGCCTGCTGCTGCTGCTGCTCCGACATGGTGCGCGCTGCTGCGGCCAGCCGGCGTTCGCGACACATTTAAATAGGCAGAGCGGCTGGTGGCGCTAGCATCACATGCGCTTCTACAACTTTTAAGAGGACGAAGAAGAAGCCCGCGGTGCATTTTGGGTCAGTAGCATGCCCGTAGGATGCACCGAGACCAACCTACAATGTGGGCGTGTCTAGCATCTGAAGTAGTATCTGAAGTAGCATGCTACTCGCTCCGGTGGCCAATTCGGACATGCTAGATACTACTTCGACTACTACTTCGACTACTACTTGGCAATTCGGACGCAGCTCGGGTGTTTATAGCATCACTTCAACCCGATTTGTATTTCCGGTTTGGGCGGAGTCTCAATGCTGCGTTCACTGACTACTAAAACATAGGAAATATCACGAAAAATTTAACAATGACGCTTTCTTTTATTATAATTATGATTTAGTATGAGCCTACAAATCAAATCAGCGTGTGACAAACGCCTTCAGTTCAGCTACGAAAACCTAAATAGATAAATAATTGTCTATCTATCTATCTATCTATCTATCTATCTATCTATCTATCCACAACATACACATTCATACTGGGTACAAAAAAAAAACCCAATAAGGTCAAGAACTACAGGTAAAAAAAGAAAGAGCAGCGCAACAGAATAACAGTATTAAAGACAAGTATATGTAAAATATGAAAAATATAAAAGAGAAAAAAGATCAGTGCCAACAAAAAACAAGTATGGATGTGATGATGACACTGACATTACACACGATTAATTAATAATTAGGGGTGTAGTATTGCACTTAATAAAATAAATTGATGTAATATAAATCAGTGGATCACCATTTAAAGGCATCAAGTACTCCCATGATAGCAAGTCAATTTTAGTTGTTTTCTCTGGATTTGAACCCCTAACTTCACACCTTATATCCCCAAAGTTGCAAAAGCACAAAACAATCAGAGAAATAGACCAAACTCACTTAATTAGTTAGGCCAGTGACTGAATGTCAACTAACCATGTTGTGGTTTGGAGTAGGATATGGAGGTATTGGGTTAAATCTGAGTTTTCATTACTATAAAGGTCATTCACTTACTCATCTTATGCTGAGCACTTCATCTTCCCCAGGACAGGTTATGTTCAAGATGAGGGATCAGTGTGCAGAAACTCTGCCATCTGACCCACCAATTTACCCCCTTGTGGTTCATCATGAGGGGAGGAAGGAGAAACCAGCAGGACACGTAGTCCAGGTATGTGATTTTGAGTGTGAAAAGCTATTTTCTGAATGTGCTTTTCTGGCACCATTCTTGTAAAAAGACCCAATGAGTATAAAATTATGCATACTAATTGCTTTGAATACTGTCTTCATATTCTTTTTAGCATTTTCATACCCCTTCCCATCATAATGTTGGGACTACAGCTAAATCTTTTTGCCTTTTATGGTCACACACACCTTCAGAATGAATCTGAGAAAACAAAAAACAGAAATAAAAACAATTTCAGGGAGTGATTATTGTAAAAACTTTGCCATCTCATTACGGGAAGGTGATAGTCTCAGGCTTGATTTGCACATTCACTTTTTTTTTTTCTCATCTTCCAGTTCTTCTATCACAGGAACCAGTCTGTTGTGTTTTTCTTTGTTGTTATCCTCTTACAGGCGTTATGGTGAGAAAACCACCTTGTTTTCACAAGATGCTGAAGTAAATGAGCAGAGTTAGAGTAAACAAATGAAATTTATTTATTATCATGGGGGACCAGTGTTGCCATCTTAAGACAACAAGATAAATAAGCTGAAATCTTACAATAAAACAAGAATTACACATGGTAGGCTCACCGGTGTGTCTAACATACACATACTGATACTATTGTGTTGTAAATAACTAAACAGTTTTATACTTTTATTCAGGCTGTAATGATTTTTTCTTTCTTTCTAAATCTGACACCAAGATCTCGAGCAACAATAATCATCTCCATTGTCAGATTATGACTCCAAATTTAACTGTGCATGGTATTTACTATCTTCAAACAGTAATTGCATTTTAATTCGTTGATATTTTCCTCCATCTTCCCTGTGAAATGATGCAGACTCCATGCCGAGACTGTGACAGCTGTCACTAATCTTCCTCGGGGAGTCTCTGCTCTGTTGCTCTGTGATTAGTCTCGCTTGCCCGGCCTGCCTCGGTTCAGCGCTGCGCTGGAGCCAGGAGGAGACGGAGCCAAAGAGAGAGAGATAAGATAATCTGCCAAAGCGAGACAATGTGAAAACAGAGGGAGAGATGGAGAGGGGGTTGACTCTGTTTGGACACAAAGGGGCGCCAGAGTCCTAGAAATGGTACTCCTACTTTGGCAATGAGGTGGTCTCTTTTAGATGTAACCTTCAATTTAATCAAGTTTGATCCATTTATTATCCTGGGTGTTGGAATTACACAGCTTTGTAATATCTGGAAGACATTCTATGTTAATAATATATGATTTGGCTAGTTAGTATACTGCAGCTCATTGCGCAGTCTATTAAAAAAACACATCACGACTTTAAATCTATGTATCGCTTATATGCTAAACTTAGCTATAGCTTAGCTAAAAAAAAAAAAAAAAGGTTTCTTTCTTGGAAAATAAAAGGATGCAAATAAAAAAATCCCAATGGAAGGAAGCTGCTGGGGACCAATAATGATGATGCACCGGTGTTTTACGATCTAGGCACAGAGGAGGACGGCAAGAAGACGAGCATAGAAGTTAGTGTAAAGGTTATTGTTTAATTGTTTAGCTTTTTAATGTGTCATTTGGTCGGGCCATGTCGCGCCTGAGTCGACATGGAGTTGAACTCAAGCTAGGATTTTTATATATATTTTTATATTGACTCAGGCACAACATGGTTTAACCAAATGACACTTTTTTTCTAACCAAACACCGGTGCATCATCATTATTGGTCCCCGGCAGCTCAACTCCGTTGCTTCTTTTTTTAATTTGCATCCTTTTATTTTTGCAGTAACTAAGTTTTTTTTTTCAATCCATCACCATTTTTTTGGTGTCGATAACTTCCATTGTGACTTTAATTTTTTTTTTATTTTTTATCTGCACTGTTCCTTTTTTTTTTAATGCACGTTTTCTTTTTTTACTTGCAGCGGGCTTCAGTTCCTTTTCTTTTTTGCACCGTTAACTGCGGTTGTTGCTTCTTCTTCTTCTTTTTTATAAATATCTGCACTTTCTTTTTTTTTACTTCGGTTTCAGTTTCTTTCTGTCTTTATCTTTTTTTGCATCAGTAACTTCTGGTGTCATTTTTCCTTTTTGCATTCTTTTTTATTTGCAGCAGTGGCAGTTCTCGGCCACCATAATGTTAGACATACTCTCTGCAAATGTGCGGAGGTCTCTATCTCCACCAACAGTAAATATCTAACTGTGTTCACAGGAGCCTAAAGAAATGTCACGCCCCTCCACGTCAGTTCAATTCCTGTGCGTAACTCGGTGTTTCCAAAGCGCTCCAGTCGCGCGGGGTCGCATCCAGATGTGTGTGTTTGTCTTTACGGTGCGACGAAGACGTCGAGGAGCCTCTGAACCAATCAGCATCGCCCGGGGGCGGGTCGTTTGTGTGTGGACTGTTGTGGATATGGAAAAAATGGACAATTTAACACGCACATTCATCTTTCATATCCCGATGGGGGGACCTGCTCCTCGCACGCGGAATTGAGTCGCAAATGCCCGGCCGTGGCGTGAAAAGGAAAACAACCAGAGAGCGGAGGAGCGCGGCTTGTTACCCGGTAAGGGCGAGCTGTGTGTCGGGGAGAAGTGTGAGCGCAGCGGGGATGGTGCTGGGTGATTTCTGCTGGCTGAGTGTGGAGGAGGCTGTGCTCATTGTAGGTGCATTTGAGTAATAACGGATAAACGTGATGAGATTAAAGGTGCATGTTGTATATCCAGAGTTTTCACCATCTTAGTCTTGTGGCTCTATCTGCTTTAAATCACCTTCATATTCAAGTTCGTGCTCTGAGAAATACATCCACACGCTTTATTGTCCCCCTGACATGATCTGACGGCACAGGTCGCGATTCCATCACTACGAATACATCACAACATTTCCACCTTAAGACAGCTCCAACTGCGATCAGCTCCTATTGTATTGCGTGGCTTTGTCACTTAGGCTTCTCACGTTGGATTCCTTCTAAGAATAAAAGCCAAAACTGCAATCTTTTTGTTTTATTGTTGGAGATTATATAGCGATGAAATAATCCGGGAAGGTCGCTGAAACCTAAACTGAGTCTAAGTGCAACAGGGGCACTTTAATTCACCACTGGATTATCATGCCAGCCTTTAGCCTATCTGACAGCCTTCAGCAGTAAATCTGGG